GTGTGTGTGTGTGTGTGTGTGTGTGTGTGTGTGTGTGTGTGTGTGTGCGTGCATGCTTCTAGTGGGGCTGACCTGCTGGCTGTCAATGCGGATGGCAACATGCCCTACGATCTCTGTGAAGACGAGGCCACCCTTGAGCTGCTGGAGATGGTTATGGCTGAACAGGGTCAGTAAGATGAGTCACATCCAGCCTCTTATTTATTTATTGTTTATTTAGCAGTGATAATGCATATCACATATATTGTAACAGATATAGCGTAAAGCTCATTTTTCACCTGTAGTCTCCGTGCGAAGGCCACAAGTGCTGCGCAGGTTACAGAGATAAAAGATCAGTTGTTAGACTTTCTAAAAAGCAGACGCAATAAAACACCAATTGAAAAACTAAGAAATTAAACAAATTCTGCAATACAAACAACAGAACAATACCAAAGCTCACTATCAGCAATCCCAATGCCACCAACAACAGACAGTTCATCAGTACAGTTGAATTGTCAGAAATTGGTGTGGTTTCTTGAAAAGTTTTTTTTTTTTTTTTTTTTCTAACAAGCTTTAACACATCTCTATTTGAAATCAGGTGCCAAATACTGACCATCCCCAAACCAAAATTAAAACAAATGTCTGTTACTGTCTGTGTGCTACTACTGCAGGTTTCATTGGTTCTATCCCTGTGTGTGTGTGTGTGTGTGTGTGTGTGCGTGTGTGTGCGTGTGCGTGTGCGTGTGCGTGTGCGTGTGCGTGTGCGCGTGCGCGTGTGTTTAGGGATAACTCAGGATCGTATAGATGAATGTCGAGGGGCTAAAGAGACGACCATGCTGGCTGACATTCAGGCTCTGGTTGAGAGCGGAGCACACCTGAACGCACAGGATTCTAATGGCGCAACACTGGTGAGACGGAGGGACATCTACTGAATACATGAAGAGAATTAAATAAATTATAAATTAGGATGTGACAAGCCAGGGATTTTAACCATATTTTTAACCAACCAAAATCATAGAGTTCTGCCAAGAATTAAAAGGCTGGTCAAAGTCTGGAAATTTGAAATGAATGATTGGTTATACCGGTGTATTTGTATTCTTTTTATTTTATTCAAGATCTCTGAACAGGGAAAAAACAAACTTTTAGAAATTGCTTCCATTCATCTAAGCTGTGTGCTTAGCTTCCTAGAAGTCTGAAATGTCCCTCCTTAAAGTTTATAAATCAATATTGAAGTATAGTTAGTGTTATTCGTCAGCACCGGAGTGCTACTTGTATTTTCTTAATGACTTGGAATGTCTCCAAAGAAGGTCTAAATCAGGAGTATAAATGAAGTTCACATTTGAGTATAAAATGCAGCAATATCTCTTCTATGTAAAACTTATATCCAGTTTTCTAGCTTTTTCTGAATGCATTTGAACCTTGTCTTTTACATGACGTGTATTTCTGCCGAAGGAAACTAGACTTTAAGTTAAACCCTGAAATGTTGAACTGCCTCCCGCGAGGTTAACTCTTAAATGACCAATGTTGAACGTCTCTCCCAGCTCCACATAGCGTCTGCTAACGGCTATGTGTTGGTGGCGGAGCTGTTGCTCGAGCACAGAGCTCTGGTGGAGGCGAAGGACTCTGATGGCTGGACGCCGCTACATGCCGCCTCCTGCTGGGGACAAGTAGGTGCTGCATACAAACCAAAAGACAAGACCCTTCCACTTTTCTTCAAATGACCCATTAATAGGGTTGTTTTTGTATTTGTTCCATAGATCCAAATGGTGGAACTGTTGGTGGCCCATGGAGCCAGTTTAGACGCAAAGTCTGTCCTGGAGGAGACGCCTCTGGGTAAGACCAGAAAGACGTTTTGTCCTGTATTGCCTCATAGCTGTAAATGACAGTACCTTTCACCTTTTAATGATGTAATGCTAATCCACTCTTTAAAGTCTAGCCTGTGCTAAAATAGGAACTAATTATCATAACTCATTTCCTAAATGTCTCTCACGGTGTCTAACCTTTTCCTGCTACTGACTTTTCAGACGTGTGTATGGATGAAGAGGTCAGATCCAAACTAATGGACCTGAAGCACAAACATGATGCCATCATGAAGAGCCAGGACCGACAGAAGAGCACGCTGCAAAGACGAGCCTCTAGTACTGGCAGCAGAGGGTGAGAGGGGACATTAGGCCAGAGAGCCCAAGGATGAAAACGAATCAAAGTTAGAGCAGTTTAGCTTTACTGTCCTCCCCCCCCCCCCCCCCCCCCCCCCTCTCTCGTTTGTCTATACAGTAAGGTGGTCCGTCGTGTCAGTGTTAACGAGCGCTCCAGTCTGTACCGGCGGGAGCACCACAAAGAGGCCATGGTGTGGCAGGAGCGCGGCCGGCAGCCAGAGCCACAGGACGACGATGAGGACAGACAAACGGACAACGAGCTGCACCAGCATGCGACCATGGTGAGTTCAGTGTGTGAAAATGTGACACAAAAAACCTTATTTTCATAAAAATAAAAAATGAATTCCAAAGAGTTGAAGCTGATTTCACTTATATGTATTCTTTAATGTTCTCTTGTGTTTCAGGTTGCTGGCGGTGGAGCTACATCACGTTTAGAGGAACTCGAGGCTGCAGACAGGAAAATTGTGTCCAGTGTCGGTAATGGAGGGACCTCTGTTTCTCTGGCCTCCTCTGTACCCGGAGAGCTGTGGAGTGGTGGTCTCATGGACCGTAGCGCCTCGTACCAGCTCAGCCCTGCATCTGGAGCTGGCTTGGGGTCTACAGTGGGAGAGGGGGAGGACAGTATGACTCGGGAGAAATCGCACCATACACTGGCTGACCTGAAACGCCAGCGGGCAGCCGCCAAGCTCAATAAGTACCCAGCACCTCCCCCACCGCTGCCTCCTTCCTTAGAGGAGGAGCCTTCTGGAGCGGAGGCCGAGGTGGCAAACGCTCAGGCCCAGCCAGAGCTCCACACGACCCCCAGCGCAGAGGAGGAAGCCTCCCCGAGCCAGGTGTACTTCACCCCAGCCAGCGGAGAGCCTCCTCTGCTGAAACTCAGAGCCCCTGAGGAGGACCAGTCCAACAATAAGGAGCCTTGCTGTGGACTCATGTAGACAGTCTAACACACACACACACACGCACACAGACACATTGCCTACAGAGTAGGGAAGCTCGGCATTTTACACTCCAAAGTGGCAAAAACCTTTCCTGCTTGAAATAAATCATTGAAGACTGCAAGTTAAGGCCACATGCCAATGAGGGTTTGATCTACACTGCATTTCAGTGAGCTGAAGAGGAATCTTTATGCTTATTTGTCATTTACTTATCTTCTTTTTTCGATACAATACACACTTTACATTGACGGTCCTAGCATTCCCTGGCGCTTCCTCCTTCCTCCTTCGTTAGGTGTCCATCTAGTGACTCAGAGGAGAACTATAAGCAAATATTTACTTTGCCCGGTCTTTGTCCATTACTTAACGTGTTCTCTTACTGCACTGCTCAACTACTGTAGATTGACATTTCATTGAAAAGCCTTAGAATCATGTAAAAGTTGAACTAACCGCAAAAAGCTGAATTTGAATTAGCAGTTCAAGATTATTTGTTTTCAATTAAGAATGCGATTTAAATTTCTGTGTTCTTTACTGAGTGCTATAAGGGTACATGATAAGACTGGTTATTTGTGGTTGAGAGATAGTTTGGTCGTGATAGATTCAGTATACGGTATAGCTACTCTGAATCTACATTAATGCAAACATGAAAACAAGGACTGTTCCCTTGCTTGATTTATTTTTTTATTTTTATTTTTTATTTTTTTTGGACTGAAAATATCCTGAGGCTTTTTTTTTTTTTTTTTTAATTACTTTTCCAGTGCACAGAAAAGCCTACATTTCAACATTTGTAATGGTGCAATTTGTAAATCAACTGTTTGTCATTAAAATACTATGTGAGATCATCTATGTATATTTGAATCGGTGGAAAATTGACTCAGCCCCTCATCATTTCTAGATTTCTATTTTTTGTCAGTATTTCTATTTTTCTACTCTCTGAATGGAATCACATTATTTATTCTATCTGATACTGAATATGGCTGGTGGTGTACAGTGTACATTTTTTTTAAAGATTAAAGTGTGAGGGCAAAATATTTATCAAAGAGATGATATATTGCTTTTTCTTTTTTGTCAAACCAAGTGAACTTGTCATATGATTTTTTTTTTTTTTTTTTTTTTTTGTGTCAAAGGTCGGTGCCTTCTTTAGGTGTCAGCTTTGGTATACTGTAGGTTTGCAATGCTTGCACAAAGTCCCACATGTACAATTGACGAGCAGCGGGATAAAATGATATATCGTCCTCCAACTCCAGCGGTCGGTGCGCTCTCATTTCTGTATTGCAATTCAGTTTTGTTCATGATTTTCACTGAGCCCTGTTTAGAAAAACAAAATATAAATGTTCAATCGATTTCTGTATTTTCCTCTCTTTTTTTTCCAAGTGGATTTCTTCAATGAATGTGAGCATTACGTCTCTGGGTATTGTTAAAGGGACGGAATCAGATAGCCATGTTTGTTTTCTTTTAATTTATACATTAGTCAGGGTCAAATAATGGCCACATGACAAGCCACACACTTGTCCCCCCCCAATGCCTTTTGTCTTCCTCTTACATCAGCACATCTTGAATGTCACACTCCGTTCTGATCCGCCTGCCAGGGCAGCACATGATACACACAGTAAACACGTTAGTACACATACATTATAAAAGCATTGCATGAGGATAAAACTGTTTCATGTTGTTATAATGGTACAAGTTGCTGCCTTATTTATGGCAACTTGGTTTTCCTTTTAGATGCACTTAACAGAATTTCATCTCTATTGTTATCCACTCGCACATTTACGCACACACACAGCCTTTGTCCAGGACGTGTTGTGTGTGGCCTTGGTGACAGCTGTGCATGGGGCGTGTTTTAAAAATGAAACCTGCTTATATTCAGACATGAACGTGAGCCTTAAGGCTACTGAGTATTGTCTATGTTGCGATGTTGATCCGTCTTTAAAAAATTAGGTAAAGGCGAAATGGAACAGACCGTCGTGCGGCGCTGCCAAAAATACGCACGGCATCACACAAGGTCGCCTGTACGTCACATGCTTGTATGTGAACCGTTTTTGGATTGAGATATCAAATGTCTTCCCCAAGTCCTTTCCAAGGCATCTGGAGGTTTCTCTTTCTCACACTTTGTTATTCTCACACACAGGCAGCTAATTCTGTGTCTCACTTTTTCTTCTCCAAAAAAGACATTCAAAGGAACTTTAACTGCCCAACAATTTCATTAAAAAAATGTTCTCAGTCTTGTTTTAAAGTCCGTTTGGGTCCGTTTGAGATACAGTTAAGTTTATTTTGTATCAACTAAATGTATATAAACTATGTAGCAAAATTAGGAAAATGAGCTTTAACCTTTGAAATCTTAGGGTCTTATCCGGAAATCTCCTTGTTCTTTATGCAGGTCACATGATAGATTAAAGGATCTCTGACCAAATGCTACCCCATGATTCCTTGCAACACCAAAGCAAACCCCCCCAGCAGTGTTGTGAGATACACTCTTATGTCACAGAGCTCGAAATGTAAAAGCCCCTCAGTGGTCTGTACAAATTAGCCAGTTTTTGTCATGTCTGCCTGCAAGTGGCACAAAATCAATACGTGGGGCTTAAGTTTTGAATGTTTTTATATTGTTGTATCGATACTTTTATAATAGCTAATGAGTTTTTTCTCAATACTCCAATACAGAACTGGAAAACAATTGAGTTACAATCCATAATGAATTAATTAATTTTCTTATTTCTCACTTATTTTGCAGTGACACATATCTCCTTACTCCACTCAAGTGGGCAAGTCTGTTATTCCTAAAAGTTAACTCCGATCGCGGGGCGCAAGTTTATATTTTCTTTTTCCGACGGCACGTAAAGGCATCATTCGGCACGCCGAGAGCTAGAAGCGAAGTCACTGAAGGAAGACAGCCAACCACGGGCGAAGGCGTGGCGGGCCGGGTGGGACGTATGAACGGAAGTATGTATGTGGCTCAACTGTCAGTTGTGTCTCAGAGGAGTCATAGTGAAAGTACACACACGAGCTGAGCCGACTCCTGCCGAACAACTGGTAACAGCTGCAAACACTTTTCTCGCTCATGTACAGTCACAGTTGTTCATTCGTGATGCGTCTAAATCTTCTTTCCCGTTCAAGCTCTACAGTCCGCTGTGAGACGGAGTTTTGCGCGTGACATAATCATGTCACAGCATGCAGCGAACGGCTGCGCGAGCCGGGGCAAGGTGCTGAATTTGGACAGCATGAACCCCAATGTGAGGAAGGTCGAGTACGCGGTCCGCGGTGCCATAGTCCAGCGGGCTCTGCAGATAGAGAATGAGCTGAAAGAGGTAAACGCCAAGTTTGTTTTTTTTTGTGTGTGTGGGGGGGCTGTGACACGCGCACACCTCGGTGCACGTGAACCGGAGTTGAGTTTGATAACGCACAAGGAGAAAGATAAAGAGGCTGTTACTGCAGTGGTGATGTGGCGGTCATTAGGGAGTCGGTGGAAGTTTTGAAAAGCTGTGTGTGTGTGTGTGTGTGTGTGTGTGTGTGTGTGTGTGTGTGTGTGTGTGTGTGTGTGTGTGTGTGTGTGTGTGTTTTGTTTTGTTTTTTGKTTTTTTTAACACAAAATGTTTGATTTGCACACACCAGCTGCTGTTGACAGTGAGCAAAACAAGTTATTTAAGTGCTCCTTTTCCTCAAGATATGGTGAGGAGTTTAGTAGTGAGGACAGAGAGTATAGCCCTCATCAATAATGCTGTCCTCAGACAGTTTATGCTGAGTGGCTGCAGGACATGGACAGTAGGTCTACTTTTCAAAGGCTTAATGCCAGCAGTGGTGGGGCTGTTATGTCCTGCGCAGCACTCAAACTCCTCTTACATATTAATGTGGTATTGATCCGCCATGCTTTCCTAAGGAAGGTTACACAAGTTGAGCGGGGAGGGGAGCCTTTTAAACAGGCTGTAATGCAACCCTCTCTGCAGTTCTGTATGTTCTCTTCACAAGACGCGTAGTGATCTGTAAGAGGCAGTTCCAAGCGCGTCGGACTACTTCTCTAGCCCGAGGTAGCCTGAGAGGATGTGTGTATCGTGGAGTGTTCTTATGTAAGATGAGAGGGTACATTCTCTATCCTCTTTTGTCTCCCTGGTTTGCCCACCTCCCTCCTCCTCCTCCTCCTCCTCCTCCTCACTGGGGAGAAAGTTCATTGGACAAAGCTGCAGCTGCGAGGGCCCAGTAGCGTCACAGGCCTTTTCTCTGCAAGGTGGTCCATGAACAAGCAGCACCCAGTTCAACTGAAAGTGCTCGAGTTCTTGGTAATCCACTGTTTTTTTCCCCTCCTCTTATAAAAGGAAAGAAACTTATTTGCCAAGAATAACGGGAATCATTGGCTGCAGAGCCGTAAAGTGTTTCCTCGTGAAGGTCCAGTCCAGAGGAGAGATTGCAATTTTACACACCTACATTAGTTTTAGACAAACCTGCTTTATACATTTATTACACCAAATGTGAGTGAAAACAATCTGAAATGTAAAATCCGGGAGTTTTCTGAGGGGTCAGGAGGGTTTACATCACTACAGCGGTCTGCGGGTGAGCTTCCTGTCAGATCTGTGACTGGAACACTTTTACTGATGGCTCAGCGGATTTTATGCAAGTGTGTGTTTGTGCAGGCGTGCACTGGTGTGGGGAAGGACTCTTATAATATAATCCTAACCCAGACATCTGGCATGACAGTGCTTTTTCAGGCTCGGATCTGATGGCAAGTCTGCATTGTCTGTGACAATGGAGAGTAATGCATAAGAGGTTTTATTGAGTTATGAGTTTGTTAAATCATAGAAAATGTCATATCCACCTTGGGTGTATTCAGGTCAGGGTTTCTTGGCCTGGCTCGCTGCTGCAATCAGTGCCTGGTGCTGAGCGAGCAGGAGGACGCGGCGCTGAGCCGGGGAACCGACCGGCTCCTCTGGCTCCTCTGGCTCCCAGACAACAGCAGCCTCTTTGTTGCTCGAGAACAAGGCCGGGGACGAGGTAAAACGTGCTGCATCCAATAGATTTCAAACAAACTGGCATCTGATTTCCACGCGAGCCCAAAGAATCTTGTGGGCGCTGCTCTTTTAATCACGCAAGACCATAGAGATGATAATATTGACTCAGTCAAAAGTAAAGTTCTCCCTGTGCCCTTGGAGGCCTTTATGCCTGGTATTTTAAAAAGCTAAATGTGCTGAATCATCACATTGACCATGTGAAGAGCATAACTTTTAAACATTTTGTTTTTTAACTGTATTGCCTTTGTGCAGCTTTGACTTGACTTGAAAAGGGTTTACAGTAAAACTAATATTCTTAGCTGAGTCTAATCCTGAAATGTACATGAACGGCTATATTTGGATGCGTTTGGTTGAGACGGGCCTTTCACTTCCTCTGTGCTCTACAGCGAGAGAAGCAGCTGGCCAGATTTAGAGCTTGAGTTTAATTTTATGACAATCTAATTACCACGATGCAATTGTATTTTTAAATTCACAATAAGTCAAATATGAATTTCTTTGGACATTTTCAGTTTAGTCTGGCATCGTATTTCGCATGAGCATACAGTGAAATGCAATGACAATTAGTTTAATGATGTGATATTTAAATGCACACACCTCATGGTTGTCTCGACATCTATTTAAACCTCATTGCTCCATCCTGGTATGAAGTAGCAGGGGACATCTATTGTCAATTTCACCTCATCTGATAAACGGCAACAGCTGCAGCCGCATGTTGTGAACAGCAAACAGACTCGCAGGCACCAACATGCAGTGTGCCGGTCTGAACAGCTCACAGAGATGAAGATGATGCAATGAAGAGGAATGGTGACTTCACATGATTGGATTAAGCCAGCAATTCTTGAGTCAATCCACAACCCTAAACAGAAGAGGGGTTGTGTCTCCATGAGCCCAGCGCTTCCTGCTCCAAAAGCCAAACCAGACTCTGTGCAAAACAGAAGATGATTGTGTGTGTGGGACTATCTGTGTCTCTGGTTTGATTACAACTTAGATGAGAGACCAACACAAATGTCATGTAGTTACTAACCCTCTGTCTCTGAAAGATGTCAGCCTGGGATGGACAATTTGAAGCTGTACAAATGCAAAATGCTCCTTACTTCCTCAACCAAATGAAACCAAACCGTTTTTTACTTATTTATTATACCTTTACTATGTGATTATGTATTTATTGGTCTTGTTTTTCTACTTATGTCTCTTGTTTGTTTGTTTGCACTATCTACTATGCTGCTGTAATCCTGCAAATGTCCCTGCCGTGTGACTAATACCGGTTTATTTTATACCGGTTATGTTGTCTTTATTAATTGCACTGGTTTCAATTACGCCGATAATGGCTTCTAGCTGAAACAAGTCTGTTCTTTTGCCCATAATAAATAAGAAGGCACTTTATCGGTGAGTGCCGGGTTTTTGTTTCTATTGATACTTCAGATTCTGAGTTGTGCGCACTGCTACTTACCACGATATCCTTTATAGTGATGTATTGCACAGATGAATGTCTACGTCCTGCAGCCAATATCGACAAATAACATTAGTATTATCAGGTTAGTAATGTAGTCAAGATGTCATAACATGTCGACTTACACAATAATAGTTGTGTTCCTTTTTTAAGTCTTGAAGTTTCCAATATATCTTAACTTGTGTCTCCTTCTCATTACTTCTTGTTAATCTTCGCACACTTCCTGTTTGTTAAGGAGGTGTCGCTACATGTAGGAGATGACAGAGTCACCAAGTTCCCACTTGTTCTATCATGTGTAATCAAGAGATTTACCTGCTCGTCCCTGTCTTTGTCTTTCAAGGGAGTCAAGAAACCTTTCACGGAAGTTATCAAGGCTAACATAGGCGATGCCCACGCAATGGGCCAGAAACCAATCACATTTCTCAGACAGGTAGGACAGCTACAGCTTTTCCTAAATTCACTTGAGTGATTGTGTTTGACAACAAAGCAGTATTCATGAAAACAGGACTTACTACTTTTCATACACACGGAATGTGCCAGAATGCCTGTAAGACGCGCGTCTTCCTCTCTCAGGTCTTGGCCCTGTGTGCTTACCCGGATCTCCTGGAGGACAACAAGTTCCCGGAGGATGCCAAGCAAAGGGCGCGGCGTATTCTCGATGCCTGCGGAGGCCACAGTATAGGTCAGACAACTCCCGCTCACTCCACCAACCACATTTACGTCCCCTCCCTCCCAACGCTCACGTCATTAGCATCCACCTCCGTTTGTCTACTCATTAATAATTTATGTGGACAGTCTGTGCACTATTTAAACAGAGCGTCAACCGATCAATGTGGTGTGTGTGTGTTTTTTTTGTTTGATTCAAAGTTCATTTTCATGTGTTCAAGGGGCCTACAGCGCCAGCCAGGGCATTGAGTGCATTCGTCAGGATGTGGCACGCTACATAGAGAAGAGAGATGGTGGAGTCCCCTCCAACCCCGACAACATCTACCTCTCCACCGGAGCCAGTGATGCCATTGTGGTATGGGTTACACTGTTTATCGTCTCTTCTCCAAAGTGCTGACATACTGTAGGCAAAGGCACGAGTTGATACATTGCTTTAATGTGGCACAGGTGACATACTTTTAGTATAGCTAGCTTATGAATCTGTTTCTTATCCACCTTTGTTAATTATATACTCTGCTGTACTTTGCTCATCTGTAACTTTACCCCACCCACGTACCTTAGTCACTGTCATTACAGTTTTGTGTGTGTGTGTGTGTGTGTGTTTGTGTTTGTGTTTGTGTGTGTGTGTGTGTGTGTGTGGCGAAACCTGGAACTAACACAGAAGCGGTTTTGAATACTTTGCCAGGTTTTTACATGTCTGTGGACAGATTTTGTCAGCGCTTTAGCTTCATAACCGTCATGATGCAGTCACAAAACAAAACAGTCACAAAACAGGTATGTAGCTGAGATCAAAATTAAGGCAGAGTTCGAATATGGGTGTGGTACAAGCAAGGGCAGCAGGAAGTGGGAAAGGGGAATTTGGCTATGGTGGCTCAACTGTCTCCATGTTGAGAGCCGTTGAAAGGCAAAATACTCTCGGTCTCCTATATATCAACTTTAAATATTGCAGATGTTTTTTCTGACACTGACGGTCTATATACTGTATGTTCTTTCAAATATTCTCCAATATTACTCCTACCACCTCAACTTTCATTCTGTCTGTCTTACCCTCCTTTCCCATCTTCTTCCTCCCTTACGATCCCAGACCATGCTGAAGTTGCTGGTGTGTGGCGAGGGTCGTGACCGTACTGGAGTAATGATCTCCATCCCCCAGTACCCTCTGTACTCGGCGGCCCTGGCAGACCTGGCCGCCGTGCAGATCAATTACTACCTGGATGAGGACAAGTGTTGGAGTCTGGATATTGCAGAGCTAAAGAGAGCCGTCAACGCAGCCAGGCAGCACTGTAATCCCCGCGTAATCTGCATCATCAACCCCGGAAACCCCACTGGTATGTCAGGTGATAGTCGTTTCTGTGTGTTAAATTAAACGGTTGCCGGAATTGTGTAATTTCGTCGGTGTGTACATGCGCGCCCGAATTGCATCGACAAACTCTGCTTGTCCTTGTGTGATAGGTCAGGTCCAGAGCAGGCAGTGCATTGAAGATGTGATCCGATTCGCTAAAGAGGAGCATCTCTTCCTCATGGCTGATGAAGTAACGTCACATTTCCTCAATTCAGAAGTTTTTCTCTCCCAGTTTCTTCAGTCTTACAGAGCAAAATTAGTGATGTCAAAGCAAGTTGACTGGCTTCATTCACATCACTACTCGGGATGCAACCAGAATTATAATAAGATTCACAGTTTCAACCCACACACAGAGCAGCACAACAATTCATTTTCTGCTAATTATCTGTCAACATCATGCATTTCTATGACCTCATCATATAGATTGAAAAAGTAAGGACACAAATGTATCTATCATCCTTGTTGATGACTGAATACATTTCAAATTGACAACCGAGTTTCAAAACGTTCGGTAAAGTTAATGTGTGACTTAATGAAAATGGTAACATACTCACTTAATTCATGACACAGACAGAAGTTAAATACAGTAGATAATCTGCTATGAGCACAGTAGCTCGTCGTGGCAGTTTAATGATCCTTTTTTCAGTCAACTCTTGAAGACATGCTGCACATTTCAGTTCATTCTGTTATGGATAATGATGTGCTTTTAATAAAGTGTTTTCCCACTTCAGGTCTACCAGGACAATGTGTATGCAGAGGGCTGTAAGTTTCACTCCTTTAAAAGGGTGTTGTTTGAGATGGGACCAGAGTACTCCACTACAGTGGAGATGGCCTCCTTTCACTCCACCTCCAAATGCTACATGGGAGAGTGAGTAGCTAGACACACACACACACACACAGACTACACTTGTGTATGAAACCTACAAAAGGTTTTCTTCTTTATTAATACTTAAAAGATCCTTGGAGTTGTTACTTCTACAAACGAATATCTCTTGCTGCTGACGTGTCCATCACCTGTACCATAAGTGTACTTTGTGTTTTGACTTCCTTCTTTCCTCTGTTTGCTTTTGTTGTCAGGTGTGGATTCCGTGGAGGCTACATGGAGGTGATTAACATGGACCCTGAAGTGAAGGCTCAACTTACCAAAATCGTGTCGGTGCGTCTTTGCCCCCCTGTTCCCGGACAAGCTCTCCTGGACATGGTGGTCAACCCCCCGCAGCCTGATGAGCCCTCCTACAACAAGTTTATGAAGGTCTGAGGAACACACCAGCTAGCACACATCCTAGCAGTGGACTGAGTGTATACTAACACAGCATGTACTAATATAAATACCACATCGTGTAATCTATGCACAGAAAGCAGCTCATTAGATCTGTCAATGAGAAGAACGGCAACGAAAATGTGTAATTTCACGCACCGTGTCTGATCAGTGAGGCACCAGATTGCATAGTGCGCGACTGCTACACATGGCTGTAGCTGCTTGCAAAGTCCAAACCAATTCGTCCCATATAGCCCACCTGTAAAGTTTATTACCTTTTATGATGAGATTTTTCTGACTTACTTTTTATGACATACTGTACTATGACTTAATTACTTTTTTTAATGACTTATTATACCATGGCTTTTTCAACACTTTTTGACAAACTATACCGTGATTTTCTTTGACCCACTACAGTATAACGTACTATACTATGCCATTCTTCATGACTTTTTTTCGACATACTATACTATGACTTTATTTTTGCTTTTTTTGATATACTATGCCATGACCTTTTTTTGTTACTTTTTTCAACATACTATACTATGACCGTTTTTGCCATACTATACAATGACTTTTTTAATGACGTTTTCAACATACTACACTACTATTCTAAGTTATCACTTTTTTCGACATATTCTATTCTATTCAATTCAATTCAATTCAATTTATTTTTGTATAGCCCAAAATCACAAATTACAAATTTGCCTCAGAGGGCTTTACAATCAGTACACATACGACATCCTCTGTCCCGGAACCCTCACATCGGAACAGGAAAAACTCCCCCAAAAAAAACCCTTTAACGGGGAGAGAAGAGTGAGAGACCTGTGGGAGAGCAACAGAGGAGGGATCCCTCTCCCAGGATGGACAGAAGTGCAATAGATGTCATGTGTACAGAATGAACAACATAATAGAGTTACAACACATTCAATGCATATGACAGAACCACGGCAGGAGACCAGACCAGGGTCCAGGTATCACCAGGATCCACGGAAACCTGTGAGGTGAGAAAGCACAGAGACTCCGGTGAAGAAGCAAAGTCAATAATGCGCGTTAATGGTATCGGTAATATAAAATAGTAATAATGATAACATGACATACTATACTATGACCTTTTATCACTTTTTTCGACATACTATACTACGACTTTTTTATGACTATTTTGGACATACTGTACTATTACTTTTTTTGACATTTTATAATCTGTCTTATTTATTACTTTGACATATTAAACTATGACTTTTTTTAAAGTTACTATACTGTGACCTTTTTCATGACTTTTTTCAACATACTATACTATGACTTTGGACATACTGTACTATTACTTTTTTCAACATTCTATATTAATTTCTTTACATACTATGCTATGACTATTTAATGCCTTTTCCCGACATTCTATTTTATGATTTTTTTCGACATACTAAACTATGACTTTTTTTTTATTGCCGAGAGCCAGAGAGAGTTGTGAGTGAATGAGAGCATACAAACACTGTCCTAATGTAGGAAGTTAGAGTAAATCCCAACATTTTACATAGTTAATTAATTTACAACTGTATGATTATAAATACTATATTTCAAAATAGCACTCCTATAAGCAAAGCTCTCTAAGTTTTACTGTACTTTACTCTCAGTAAATAATCAATGTTAACAACTTGATATTCAAGGAGGGATTTGGTAATCCTAAAATCACTATGGTGGCACCATACATCCTGACCAAATTATGTAAAGTGGTAGCAGTCAAAGTCTATTCTGAATCCAACGTTACAGGTCAGATATGCTACTGGTTTACACGACAGGAGTTTGGTGTGAGTATCTTACCACAGCATCCTACATCGGACACACCGGAAGCCTGAAGTGAGCTCTGAGGCAGACTGGCATGCAGACTTCCTGCCCCCTGGTAGCATTGAAGACTGGTCGACCTTATTTACGCAATGCTGACGCAGCCTGTGGCTTGCCCCACACCGCGATCACCAACGGCCTCCCTCAGCCAATCATATGTTTCCCGTCAAACTTTAAAGACCTGTTCTCTTCTCTGCAGTCAGTTGTCATTTCAGAACCGATGTGACCCTCCTCCTCATTCATCATCACATCCGGTGCTCAAGGTTTCTTCCACTGAGCTCAGTCGCACTCCACATGCCATCGTCTAGATCTTCAACCTACCCCTACTGCTTTCAACAACTCCACAGCTTGAACTGAATTATTTGGTGGATAATAGTTATTAAGACAAATAATAAGTCACCGGGATCATGTCCAACTTTTTTGCTTCTCTCTCATCGGCAACTTTATTACATATGGTCCTAAATCATCACGCAAGTTAGATGTTATTGTGATGTTCCGGACCTTTGCTTGAAGAAATTCTCTCGAAATGGACCTCGGTGAATTTGAATTGAATACCTCTGTACTATACTATTGCTTTTGATGACTTTATCCACATAATGTACGATGACATTTTTCATGAATTTTTTTTTTACATTCTATGCTATGACAATTTAATGCCTTTTCCCTGACATACTGTACTATGACTTTTTTACAAGATTTTCGACAAACTATACTTTGACAATTTTATTACTCTTTTCAACATACTATACGTTGACCGTTTTTGCCATACTATACTATGACTTTTCCATGACTTTCTTCAACAACTTGTGACTTTTTAGCACTTTTTCCGACATACTGTACGATGGCTTTTTCATGACTTTTTAATTTCTTTTTTCTACTATTGGGTGTAGTTCCAATCTAGACCAGAAACAAAAATACCAGTTTTACTCATTGTTTCTCCTAATGCAGCCTTCAATTGAAGCAGCCAGTAACCCACAATCTGTCGTACACCTGTACATCCATGTACTGTATGTTCATAAAGTTTGAAATTAATTTTATTTTATTCAGGTGGTAATAGACAGTACCACATTGAAAAATCCACTGAAGGGATGTAAATAATGGAAGTTAGACTATTCTCATTATCAGATAGATATATTAAAGAATTCATAAGTACACTCCATAAATCTTTTAACTCTTGCTTCTCCTTCAGGAGCGGACAGCGGTGTTGGCAGATTTAGCAGAGAAGGCGGGGCTAACAGAGCAAATCTTCAACACAGTACCTGGTATCACCTGTAACCCTGTGCAGGGGGCCATGTACACCTTCCCCCGCATCGCTCTCCCACAGAAGGCCATCGACAAGGCAAAGGTCTGCTCTGCACACCCACCATATGTCACAAAAGAGCCTCACCCCAATTTACTTGTCTTGTGTGGACATGTTCAAACGTGCATGTGTGTGTGTCCATCTACAGGAGGAAGGCCATGTCCCAGACATGTTTTATTGCATGAAGCTGCTGGAGGAGGAGGGCATCTGCCTGGTGCCTGGTAGTGGCTTTGGCCAGAGAGAGGGAACCTTCCACTTCAGGTTCGCATGGCTATACCATCTCTGTTCTGGACATTTTACAGATTTCAAACAGTTTGTTCCTCAACTTAATAGAAAATAAGGAACCTATTGCAAGCATACTGTGACCATACATTGGCCATTAATAATGTTATGGCTTTTTCTGCGCTATAATCGATATATTGCAAAGTGAATCTTCAAAAGTTAATTTGCCATTTAAACCGGATTAGATTTGTTTATATACTTTACAGACTGCTTTGAACCTGTACTGCACAAGTGAATTTTTATTTGTTTGATTCTTAAATTGAGGTCATGATGGCAGAATGATCATTAAACTCAAAGTAATTCACTACACTTGCCATTAACCCACATCCTTCTTCCTGCTGTTCCATCCAGGATGACCATCTTGCCTCCCACTGAGAAGCTGAAGATTGTGCTGCAAAAGATCAGCGATTTCCACATGCGGTTCACACAAGAGTTTTCATAACCGCCATCTCGAGAACCACCTCATTCATTACCAGTATCTTCAAGTGCCTTTGTGAGACGGAGGCAAGAAGTCTTAATGTCGTCTCCTGCGATACCGATCTCTTAAGATCAGATATCTTCACCATTTTGCAACAGCGAAGAACCTTGAAGGCTTCTTTAATTTAGACAGCTAGTGAAAATGAGATGTCCTGTTTATATGTGAAGATGTAATTATTTGCGCTTAAAGTATTACCCAGCCAGGTTTTTAATGCACAAGTGTTATATTGTTGATTGCATGTTATGTCTGGTGTCTAGATGCACCACTGTCCTGTCAAGACTTATGCAGCCAAATTAGTTGAAAGTATCAATTAATAACATGTTTGGTGATTACTAATTGTTTGAAGGCTGAGATCTGTATAACTAAATTGCTCTTAAATGTGATTAAAACTAATTTCTAGAACGCTTGTTTTTTCAATATAAAAGGCCTCTTACATTTGGAATAAATTTGCTGAACACCTTCCAGCTTGTATTGATTCACAGTAACAAAAACTCACATTTGAATGCTGGCCCACAAAGCTCCCATCATTTACAGTTTTATTGAAAAAGACTGAAATCTTCAACAGTGCGTACATGCTTTTAAAGACAGACGAACACTGAATCTCTTGGAATGAACAGAAACTCAAAAAATATGATTGAACATAGCAACTCAGTAACCGCATTCCTCCCTTCCCCTCAAGCTCACCCCGAGCATGTTTAAGAGTTCTCAGATAATCATCCAAAGAGACATTTTCAAAGTTCATCCCTCTTCTGTGATAGCTTTGTGCTATGCTTCTCCAAGAACGCGCTGAAGCCCTCCACTGTTCTGTCTTCACCTTCAAATTTGATGGGGTTCTGCTTACTGTCGCTCGGGGCAAAGTATATCGTAGGGAAGCCTTCTGTTTTGAAGCTCTCGTTTGGCACATCGTTGGCTGTGGCATCCATCTTGGCGATCACCAGGTTCTTCTCCCCCTTGTACTTCTTGCCGAGAGCCAAATAGTCAGGCTCCAGTTTCTTACAGTGGCCACACCAGGGAGCATAAAACTCAATCAGGACATCCTTCTCTTTATCCATGACGATCTCCTCGAAGGTCTTTCCTACCACAACTTTGACGGGCCCTTTGTTGTTCTTTGGCACTGGCTGGGATTTGATGATGGGTTTGAGCTTTCCTGTGGACATGACAGAAATTCACAACGTTCAGAAAGTGTTATTGAAGGTTTTTAAACCATGCTGAAATGACATTCAAAATTCACATAATAACACTAACCTTTCTTGAAAGCCAAAACAAATTCTCTCAGTACGTCGGCATCAAACTCCTCTGGCTCCATAGCAAACTTTTTGCCTTCATCTGCCAGAAGTCCTACATTGACATCCTCTCCGCTGTCGCTCAGGCCCAGGCCCTTCAGCTCTTCTGCGTAGTCCTCCTCATCACCAATGGCAAACGTGTATTCTGGGAAGTCCTTGGCCACCTCGAGCACCTTGGATCTCCAGAACTGCGTAGCTAAAAAGGAAAGGAAGTATTAGTGTGTCGCAAAAAATGTATGTGGAAAAAAGAAAAAGTGCCCAGTCCCTAGTGTGTCAAATAAGGCATAGTATAGTATGTCATAAAAATAATCATTGAAGAGTCACGGGGCCTTTTGAACTAGCCGGAAAAAAAACTGTAGAAAAACATCATAGCATAGTATGCCGAATAAAGTTGTTTTTAAAAAAAAAAAAAAAAAAAAGAAATTGTATAGTATGTCAAAAAAGTCATAGTATATCAAAGAAGTTAAGGCATAGTAAATCGAAATAAGTCATCATATGTTGAAAAAATGTATAGTATATTAGGTCATAAAATGGCTTTAAAAAGTCAAAGTTTTGTATGATGTAAAAAATAAATAAATAATTCAAAGTACAGCATGCCAAAAAAAAAAATCTTAAAGTCAGTATAGTATGCTAGAAAATGTTTTTAAAAAGTCATATGAAAGTACGCAATAAACTTGATAGTATATGTTAAAGAATTCATCAATATAGTATTTCAAAAAATGCCATAAAAATAAATGTGACGTGAAAGTCACAAAATGTCATTTTATAGTATGTTCAAGCACATTCATGCAAACTTTAGCATTCAACCCATTTGGACAAACAACCACATAAAAACAAGCTCCAATTTTGAGTAATTTAAGACCCTGCAGATAACCTATTATAGCTGCATTAAGCTTAAACAAAATTATGAGAAATAATTAAAAGAGCAATAAATGAGCAGAAGCAGAACTAAACTTTAAGGACAGTGAAAGTCAAAGCTATACTCCTGAATACTAGCCGTTCAACAACATCCCAGGTCAAACCCATCAACTAGGAGAAGCTCACCTTTCCTGTAGTCAAAGCTGAAGTCAACTCCATAGTACACGACCACCAGGGGTCTTTTGGTGTAGCGCTTGGCATCGTTGCTTGGTTTTCTGTGGCCCACCAGAGGGATTTCATGTTTTTTGAAGAAGTCCTGCACTTCTGACACCAACGTAGAGTCCTATGTGATAAACACACGAATGAGTCAAGACCTCAGAAGTGACTCTTTCGAAATAAATCAGGATATAATTGTTTTTTGTAAGTCTTAAACTTAAAGCGCTTGTCAGGTAAAATCTATTTTACACTGATACTAGAACTGAAAGAAGGCAGAGTCATTTATGATCGAGTTTCATACCCAATGAAAAACACAACTAGTGAAAATGATCACACAGGAAGTACCTTTACTGCAAGTGTGTGCGACGCTGGCTCGTACTTGGAGCCGAACCTCTCAGGCTGAAGTATGACAATCTGACCGGGCGACGCTTTGAGCAGGTTGGCCACTTCGGAGTTGAAGGCGTGACGGAAGGTGAAGTCTTCCCTCAGTGTATTACCTGCCGGAAAGACAGCAAAGAAAATATTAGCCACATGTTCATTTTAAAGACTGTCACGCAGAGATTTTAGAACTTTGACACCAAAGTTTCCTTCATAAAAGCACAAACGGGCATAAAGCAAAAATGATCTTTACCACTTGCTTTGAACACACCTCCAGGCTCATAGTACTTACAGGCCTCAATGTAGATCGCATAGGCTGCATCCTGATCACTGGAGAACACGCCGACTATAACGGCGTCGTCGCCGTCCTTGAGGAGCTCCTGCACCTGTTTTACTGCCTGGACCTGCTTGGAGGGAGGCCCTGCCTGCTCAGCCATGAAGTCAACAATGCCTGGAGGGAAAGAGCAGATCAACTGTGATGGATGAACTAGAAATAATATGTGCTCTCAGGCCTTTATGCATAGAAACACGGAAAACCACGACTCGTGTTAGTGTCCAATAACGTCCACATACCGTGCTGCTCTCTGGGTCCGTTGTAGTCGAACACTTTGCCTTTCCTGAAGATCTTGATGGTGGGATAGCCCGAAACTTCAAAACGCGTGGCTAGCTCGCTCTCGATGGTGCCGTCCACCTTGGCCAGAGGAATGGGAGGAGAGCGCTGGCTCAAGTCCTGGGCTGCCTTCTCGAACTCTGGAGCCAAACGCTTACAGTGTCCGCACCTGAAGGAGATTTAGAATAGGCAAATCATTACATTTTTTTTATAAGTCTTAACAGCGGCTATTGAAACACTTGACTATCACTCCAATGGATGTCAGTGTGACATTTACAGTGATAACTAAACAATCTGTAGTTCATATATCTCCCGACTGACCATGGAGCATAGAACTCCACCAGGATGATGTCTGCGTTGTTAACGGTCTCATCAAAGTTGTCCTTGGTCAGCACCAGCGTTGCCTCAGGTGGGGGCTTCCAGTCTGGCTGAGCCACCTCTTTCACCCGGGCCACAATAGCTGCAAAAAACATTTAACATAAAGACGACAAATTCCTTTAAAATAAAAGGGGGGGGGGGGCAGGTGTGGTTTGAAAGGGTGCGAGGATGATTACATGAATTCAATGTCCCTACCCGCCTCTGTTCTTGCGCCTTCGTAATCCACAGGTTCCCCATTTTTCATGATCTTGATGGTGGGATAGCCCGACACTTCGAACCTGCTCGCTATCTCATTGGCTATCGTTGCGTCCACTTTGGCCACAGGTATGGGAGGGTCGTTCTCCTTAAGAGTCTGGGCGATTTTTTCATACTCCGGGGCAAACTGCTTGCAGTGGCCACACCTAAAAAAGGATACAGAAAGAAGACACACAAAAATGGAAAAGTTGGCCGTGATATGGAAAGCAAGTAGAATCTTTGTGAATAGGGAATGTCCTGGAGGAATAACAGACTCACCACGGGGCATAAAACTCAACCAGCACTGTGTCTTTGCCTTCCATGAAGGTGTCATAATTGCCATTGGTGAAAACCAGCACTCCGTTCTCTTCTTTCACCTCTGTGTCATCCTCTTCATCCTCCTCCTCTTCACTGTCTTCAGCATCTTTCTTCTCCTCTGCAACATCTCACAACAAACAAGGAAAAAAAAGGGACACAAACTGATTCCACGAGCACGAGCTTGGGCAGTAGTAGTTTAATGGCTGGGGTAAAACAAACAAGACAGGTATGAGCATAACGTGTAGCAAGAGATAGCAGCATCCTGTTCGCACGTGAGCGTTACACCTTTACTGACACAACAATGCACACTACACGTTACAACATGACGTGTGTGGCAGTCCTGATGACACTAATTAACGTTAGCTCACCTGTACTGTTAGCTATTGTGCTAACAGAACTAGCAGAGTAGCTACAGTAACTTGGCTAGCTTAGTTTGCCGAACAATAACGAGCCGGAAACGCACAGTAACCGCGACATTGCTTTACTTAAACAACATATTCAGTTGCAATTAACGCGTGAAAAAGGCTCGGGACTTACCATCTTCACATCGGCTCAGAGTTGCAAAATGTGCAACGCCGAGCAACACAATCAGCAGCAGAGCAACCTTCTTCATTGTCCAAAAAGGGTGATGCGGCCCGTTATTAAAGAAGTGCTTCTCACAAGTATCCGGTTAAATAAATGAGCTAATAACGCTGATGAATATCATCAAAACACTGTGTCGGCTGAACAGACCCGCTGTCCGGGTCAATACTGACGTGTGGTTGTAGACGCCTTTGGTTCGTGGTTTCATACAAACTAATCAGTGCCCACTTCAGCCACACCACCTCCTCCGTCTGGAACTTGTCTGACTTGCCACGTTGTGATTGGTCCTCATCCTCGGCCTGTCCTCCAATCACAGTTCGCCACTCAATTATACGTTGGGTGATGCTATTGGATACTTGTATTGATCATTTCCCTCTTCTTTGGACCAGTCTTGGAAAACGTTTATGAAGGAAGTATGACTAAAACTAAAACTAAACATTTTATTTAGTGCTAGATTACATGATCATTTGAGTGCAACTTTGAGAGAGGACACATTTTCCCCTCATATGATGCACAAACAATGAATATTCATCACAATCCAGTCTTCGAAGCCTAAAGGTCAACATTTTAGATATTTTCCTAGCAAGTCAGTATCATAAAAAACAATATATTGAGGATATATCCTTGGATAATATCTAAGGATGACTATTTACGAGACACAACGGACTTTCATTGTTTGCAAAGAAATATATGCGACTTTGACACGTCAATACAAATTTAGGAAAATACCTTTTGGATTGACAGGTTGCAACTACATTAAAGTAAATGATCACTTTATTTGGTGTACATCTCAATGATAACAGCTCTCGGTTCTTAAGGAATCAGGATGGGCAATGCAGAGAATCTAACTAAAATACATGTACTCATACAAATATTTATGCATTACAAAGGTGTGTTTGTGTTTTGTAAACCATTCAACTCAACTCAAGTCATGAACAACTAGTTATGCAGTTTTTGCAACAAGGACTAAGTATTGAAATGCTTGCCCAATGCTTGTGTCCCATCCACAATTGTTATCTCCATAAGGACCCTACTGTTTATCTGACTTTACAGTCCCAGGCTCCTGGTGGACTAGAACTTCCACCAGCACCTCCGTATGTGTGGACTGTGTTTTACTTAAGCAGCAATTGTCATTTGTTTTAGTCCATTCATTAACTCGCTCCTCCAGAGCATCTTCTGTCCAAACGCTGATGTGTGATGTTGACTCTGGGAGGGAGAGGTAGTTTTGTGCCTTTAAATATGTCCGGAGCTCTCTGCCTTTTGGGTTTTCTTTGGCTATTGTTTCAGGCTGTTGTGAAGCATCCCATACCACAGCCCTGTCTGAGGAGGAGTGGTCTCCCCTTTGGCCCAGTATCTCCGGTTCAAGCTTGGACCTGGTAATGCAGTCATACAGGAAAAACATCAACATTCTTCTTTCTTTTTTTGACACCTAATTTAAATATTTTCAGTTTACTGTAATTTATGATATTTAAATGTCGCGTAAGAATGGTCTATAACCTAAGTAGATGGTAAATGTTTTTACCTGAGCAGGTGAGATACTGGTAAGGTCTCTGTGTGGCCACTGACATCTGTGTGATCATTCATCATCACCACTTCTCTTTTTCGCATTCTTAAAAAGTCCTGTAACAGAATCAGCTGTTCAAACATTGTTTCTGTTTCCAGAATACAAATTTTTTAAATAATGTATTGTATGTACAGTATATGGGTGCATGCACTGTATGTATGTGTCTGTCTATTTTTCATATTTTTGGTGTCGGGCTCACCTGTGCGTCCATGTTGGAGGGCTCCTGTAGGATGACAGGACTGTCCTCCTCGATGTAGTGATGGGCTTTGGGGGGCAGAGTGGGGTGCAGACTGTTTGAGAGGGCATCGAGTCTGAACAATAGTTCATCCACTAAGCTTTCAAACTCTTCGAAGAAATAAGTCTGAAAAACCAAAGGGCAAAGTTAATGTAAACTCTACAAATAAAGGTAGGTGGTGCAATGTGTGATATTTGAGGTAGGATAAGAGGCTACAGGATTTACAGGAAAAATATTCTTCAGAAACTCACAGTAGCATTGCCAGAAGCCTGAGATATTAATCCTGACCACTGTCTCAGATGTTCACAGCAAGGTAATTTGACAATGAAATATATATATATAATGATACACAGCAACTTTTAAGTCTGCAAAATGTATTTTCTCAATAAAAGAATCTCAGTCTGATAGTTGACTTGATGCTTTTTCCTCACCTTCCCTTCCGCATGATTTTCAATCCATGCTCGTCTACGCTGCCCAATGAGCTCAGAGACCCTCCGTCTGATGTAGTCGGCTAATTCTGCTATGGTGAAGACATTCGCCCAGCTTTGAGATCTTTTAGCACTTCTGACCAATGAGGACACCACACCTATCACCTATGAGAGAAACAGATGGCTGTTCAACCCGACATAGACTCTGACAGTTTCTACCACTGAGAATAAGTTGCGCAAAAACTAATTACATGCAACAATCGCATGCATTCAGTCGCAATTTTTACAAAGTAAAAAAAACATTTATATTATATAGTATATATGTACCACTGCTGTCCACACCACAGAGGACAGATAGAGAACTCCACGGTAAAGGAAATCCCGGCCAGAGAAGGGAAGGCCCCGAACGGCCCTGAAACCCCAGCAGTGACAGAGCAGGGTCTGAAGGGAGCGGGGCAGTGAGCTGAAGGCCCAGGATCTTTGTACGAACAGGAGATTCCCAACGCAGGCCAGCGCCACCATCAGAATGAGACCTGAAATCTAAAGAAAAGAAAATTGAGAACGTTTTTGTCTTTTCTGTCTGATTAGTGAAGCCTGCGCTTTGTTTCTTTCCGAATGCCCATTCTTAAATAATTACATCCTGACTTTTTTGTGATAAATACCCAAATAAACAAGTCTTATTATGCTGCTGTAAGAGGGTGGAAATCTAGACTGACATTGTCAGCATTTCATGTGTGGGTAGGACACAGAAAGAAACTGCATTAATGAGATGCACACAAATTGCCTGTATAATTTCCAGTCATTTTCCAAGTCCAACTGGACAGGAGTATATTAAAAGTTCTAATGACAATCAAGCAGTTGACGTTATTCCAACAATGAGTTTACCGTCGGCCAGACAAGGCTGGAGAGTGACCGGGTGAGGAGTGTAGCAGAGGATGCCAAGGTCCTGTTCACCCTCAACACAGTCACACACTTCATGTTGAGGAGAAGGAGCGTAATGCCACGCAGAGTACGGATATACTGCAGACACAACATACGTCTTAATCATTGCTGTTCTGTTTACAACCCACACTATAATCTCTATAGGACTTCTCTATCAGTTAGTTGTATGTAATGTAATAGGTTTTGTCACATTTTAATTATGTTAAGTACTCAGAATTATCTCTTTAAAGATGAGGCTCTTTCATTTTCCTGTAAATAAAATAAAGCAGGCTAGGCAGTGAACTGCTCTCTCAACATTAAATATTTGTTTTCCTGTCTCTTTCTTTCTCTCACTTGTTCCAAGGTAGCCAGGAGGCTGACATCAACATGTCCTCTGTGGTTGTGTCTCTGGAGCAGCTCCACAACCTCCAAGACAATGATCGAGTGATAGATGTAATAAACATAGTACACTAAAGATACCGTCAGCAAACTGACCTGCAAAACAGAGAGAGGGAGAGAAAGTGAGGTACATTTCTAGAGAAGTAAAAGTATAATCAGGTACATTTCATACTCTACAGTTAAAACCATGCTGTGTACTTTGACCTATAAACTTCACAGGTATGTTGGTTTAGGAGCGACAGGTTACTTTACCCTTCAAGCCAGGTCATTGTGATCTCATTTGCATTGGTGTGTGACCGAGTGTGTATGCATGCCGGTGCAGGTTTCCATGTGTACCTTCAAGCAGTGTGTATGCAAGTCTTTAAATAATCGTTTTAATCATTATGTTGGTATTCATATTTTTGCCTGTGTGTATTTATGCATGTGTAAGACTTACCTCCAGACAGTTTAAAGGTGTCCTCCAGTATCCCATCGGGCCTTGCTGCCCTATAGCGTACACTTGATTACAGAGTTGCAGAAGGGACAAGAGAAGGAAGAGGAGCTATAGGGGAGGAAGAAAATACACGAGGAACCTTAAAAACAAAGGTTGGTAATCTTCTTCATAAACATTTTGCTTTATTTGTTAAAATTCTCACTACGTCCTGACAGCAATCAATAAATGAAATGCTAATCCAATGTTAGTGTTACTCAGTGCAGTGTTGTGTTTGTTTTTCCTTTAAAAAAACAACTCAATCAACAATATCTTGTTGTGTACATTTTGATCTGTAGATTTTGCTTCTTCAGCTGCTTAGTGTCTTTATGATGGTGTTGAAGACTAGTTGTTTTCTCAGATAGGTGAAGTAGCATTTTACCTGGCACACCATGACAACATAGTCCCACACAGCAGGAGTGTGATACACTCTAACTGACCGGACTTTGGCAGAGGGCAGCAGAACGCCTGTGGGGATCTGCTCAGAGAGCATGGTCACACTGGTGAACAAGTTGGGTGCGGGGCTAAACAAGGTGAATTGGACAGACACAGTCTGTCTGCACAGCCAGCCACCTGAACGCAGGAGCTTCAGTTTGGACGCAGCATCAGACCTGCAGAGGAGGAGAGGACAACTGGATGATGACGGTGACAATATTACCGACATTAGAGTCGATACTGCAGAAAACCATTTGAACACAGATCACATTAGGAAAAACTCAAATAATCATTTCCGCCGGGTGTCCGTTTCTTACTTTGTGTGGCCTAAACCAACTGTAGCACTTGGTCCCGAGTAGCAGCCCAGGTGACCACATGTCTTTGGAGGTGTTTGCATAGGTACTAAGACCTGAGTAGTCAGTGACACAGTCAGAACAAATCATAAATCAAATATAACACACTAATTCATCTCTAAATGTAATAATATTGAATGATATTGAAAGCTATCACTGGACTACTACAGTATATATGTTTGAGAAACAGTGCACTCTACAGGGGGAGTGAGTGCAAAGTACAATGATGTCCTGAATGATGTGCTGGAATACCATGTGACAGATTATTTGCTTGAAATTGAAGCAAAGTATTGCGCTGGATCATTCAAGAAATATGTGGTTGCTTTGCTGTTATTTCGCAAGAAATGGAATATTAGAATTTTATGTTATTTCGTTATTATGGAAAACTATTACCAATCAATGTGTGCAAAATCTGAATAGTTTCCCTTTCAAACACATTTTTTGTTAATCCAACATTTAAAACAAAATCATCACAATAACTTTTCCAGTAACTAAAATTATGATTGCACAGACAAAAATTCATTGTGATTTTAGGTTATATCAGTAGTATATTACAAGATGTAAAGGCATGTCTTCTTTTGTTACATACCTGGCCCTGAAATGGGTCGGACACCTCTGTCTTCCACAGGATTGGCTCTCCAATCAAGATGTGTGACTGTTGGTTTCATAATAATGAAATACAAATTAAGATCTTTTCTTCAGTGGGTTGTAGAGACTTGCATTAATGGTGAAGGTAAATTATTTTCATATTTTCATTGTACAGCATTGGATGGATGAATCCTTTTCATTGTATTTTACAAAATTTGGTGGAGTGGTGAATGACTGCAGCACTGTTGTCGCTTACCTCAGTTGTGGATGATGCATTCTTGTACAGTAAATTAAGGAGGCTGCTCTGTGCCCACTTCCACCAGTGCTCATGCTTTTGTATAGACAAAAATGCATCATCGTGGCCACTGTTGAAAGATAAAGTAGGATTTTTGAGTGTGTCAGACAGCAATAAGTACAAAGCAAGAGACAGCATATGTGTGCATGTTACCTTACAAACTGTTTTCTGACAGCTTTATTGAGGTGGTAATGGTCAGTGAATGAGGCCCCATAACTTATACACAGCATCAGGAGAAGCATGGAGCCACAGAGTGATAAATCCCTGGATGGAAAGAGGAGATAATTCCTTACACAGCTTTAAATCATATGCAAACAGGTGCACACTTACACAAAAACACACAGACATACCTGAGAGTGTGATGGATGAGTGTCTCTCTTCTTTTCTTCCCACAGCTTTTCCTCAGCTCTGCTGGAGTTGGTGGGCGCACAAGACGGAGGTACCGGGCTCGCTGACGAGCTCCAAGCAGCTGTTAGTGAGAGATAAGTCAATGTATGTTTTGATAGAAATGAATAGATGAGAACAGAATGAAATAGAATAGTCTGGCTTTCACCTTTTCAAGGTATGAGCATCTTTCCTGTGGAAAGGCAGATGTGCCAAACTGCTCTACGTTTTGCTTAGCACCATTGTGGCTCCGCAGTTTTGAAGTGTCTTTCTCAATCTCTCTTATACTGAAGAAGCTATGAAAGTCTGATCTTTTCCTATGCCAAAAGGAAACAGTCACTGCCACCGTAATAATCTGGAAAAGGGAAATAACATGTACAGTGCAAAGAGTTAAATGTAGTTAAGAGTAAATTGCATTTAATTCTAGTTTAGGATTACGGTTTATATGTTTCTTTACGTGGAATACAGTTTAGAAAATGCTGGAATAATCTACCACGGCTGGCTGGATGAGGAAGATGCAAAACATCAGGGAGAAGAAGAGAGAGTGCATCCATAGCAGAACCTTGCTGCTGCTGAACCTGACACATGAAAACACACAGTTATACATAGTTTTGACTGTGAGACATACAGTTATAACACAGGATATACATAATGTTTCAAAAAGTCAGTATTAATAATGCAAAAATTAAGCGTAATCCACACCACTGGCTTCACACTTGAGCATTCATACATCTTCATAATCATCAATTTGATGCCATCACACATCTAATACCTCAATCCCAGCACTGCAGAAAGCACAAGGCAGGAGAGGGACAACAGCAGACACAGTGTCCAGGCCAGATAGTGAGACCACTGAGACAGCGGTCTCAATCCTCTCCCTTTTAGCCGGTCGATGTTGTGTGCTGGCCACGCTGCCCGGTGATAGCAGTCTTCCTTAAAGCTGCAGTCCGATGAAAACTTCCCTTGATGGTCTTCTTCCTTCTGAATAGCATGACGTACATCCCTCGTACCGGACAAAATAGCTCTCTGGGTTCCAGGAAACCTGCTGCTTTCACTTAAAAGATCTAACTCTTTTCCCCCAGGTGCTTGATCAACATTGTTCCGCTTAGCAATCAGCAACACATTTTGAAGCGTTGGTCCCTTGTAGTTCTTAACTTCAAGAGAGTCCTCCTTTCTTGTGACTACATCTGATCGGATTGCAGGTTTATTACCTGTGTTTTTATTTTCCAGAATCGTAGTGGACACTGACAATAGGTCTGTGCCCTACAAACACAAGAAGAGGGGTCAGATAGACATGGAAAATGTGCCAAAAAAGACAAAGAGCGAGAGAGAAAAAGAAAACAGAAAAAGATGTAACCTGGTATTTCTTCCTCCAGGTTTCCTGCGCCCACTGCTGAAGACTGCTCCAATAGAGATGGGGCTCAAATACACTGTCATTTAACAAAAAGGCATCTGTGAGGAGACAAAACGATAAAATAAGGCAAAGGGATGTGAGGAGACGAGAAAAGAGAAGAAAATGCAAAAAGAGTAAATGTAAAATAATGGATAAAGCAGATTAATTATGTAACATTTCAATAGACAGGTGATTTATAGCATACTGTAGGAAAAAAAGAGAAAATTGACATTTGATGTGATGCAGGTGGGCATCATTTTCATTGTCCACTCCTAAGAAAGAGGATAAATTATGTGTTTAACTCCATTTAAGTACAAACCTCCAAAAGGGTCCTTTTCAGTCCGTCTCCCCTTCGTGTGTTGGACTACCGACCCCATCAGCTGGACCTCACGCAGTCGGAACAGGAAAGATATAATTGCTGCTGCGGGCAACGCTGCCGCCACACTTAATACTCCCGTCGTCAAAGAAACAGCTGACAGATCTATAATGCCCACCTCGAATGGCAACTGCAAACAAGTGACCAGAAACAACAGCAATATGGAGAAGATGCTTTGAAACTGTCATGGCCAAGTTTCGAACTCTGAAGTTTTGTTTTGTTTTTTTAACCTACCCGATCATTCATTTGTGATATGATTACTGTGTTGACACATGCGTATCCCAACAGTAGCAGCAGGCTCACGCTAAGTCTCTGAGTGTGTGTAAACGAGTTAGGGTAGGGGCAGCTGTACAAAGACATCCAGATGTGGTAGTCGGCCAAGTAGTCAGACAGCTTGAGACACAACATCTGCAAGTACACAGGTGGAGATCCAGGACAACATGGGAGAAGAGATTAAAAGATGATTTTTTTTTTGTAACCGAGTGTTCAGATGTGTACCTGAGCACTCTACCTTAGCAAAGCCTATTCCATGTGTGCAAACTCGCAGCATTCTCTCCACCCGGCCATCCACTTTGTTCACAGCCAACCAGCACTGTCCCACAAAGAGCCAAGCACGGCCATTCACATGCCCTCTGCTCACCTGTATTAAAAGTAGACAAAAACAAAAGCATCTTGATGGTCAAAGTGAAAGTCCACACACAGAAGAAAGAAACACATTTACAAACACTCAACAGGTGGACTTTACCTCGGATACCTCCACTTGTTTGAGGTACCAGTTGGGGGAGGGTCCTGAGTTGTCATGCCAGATGTGAACCCCCCACACTGGGCCCAGGCTGTCTGCTGCACTGTGGCGTCAGAGACAGAGAATACACTGAAGAGTAGTAGTAGTGAAGTATTCTACAGTATTTCAGTAAATGTGTGGCGATCAGTGTATTGATTTTATGTGGATTACCTTAATATAAAGATGTCTTGTGAGTTCCTCCTGAACAGAGTGCATCCTGGGACTTGTAGTTCTCTTGTCTGTGAGCGCCCATCTTCACCATTCAGCACTATGTAAACCTGATAAACATGTAGAAAAGGTTTCCCAAACACATTACTACAGGAAATGACTTTTATAAGGATATCTTAGTTTAATCCAAATCTGGAAAACCAACCAATACACACTTCAATAAAGATTGAACGCTGCAGTTTAAGAGTCAGGCCATTAATGTTGTTGTTTTGAAAACATACATTAGAAAATATCTCTTAAAAAAAAAAAAACGATGCTTGGGGGTATTTTCATCAGGCTCAGGGTGAGAGTGGAGGGGTGACAGGGAATGTTATCACTGAGACAGAGGGGGAAAGCAGGAAGGAAGAGGTTCATTTTGAGATTTCGGGTCTCAAAGCCGCCATGATCAGAGAAGCAGCCAGACCATCATCACCCCTGACATCTGGGCCAAGCTGAAGGAGCTGAGAGACATGGCCATGGAACAAAGGAGCATGATGGAGAAGCTGGAGCAAGAGAATACAGGTGACACACACATCCTCTATTTCTTGTAAAAAAAATTAAATCCTACTAAATTAAGTAAAATATTCAACCTGCAAGTTGCTCTTTATGAACCATGTCAGTTACTTATATATATATATATATATATATATATCATATTATAGATATATCAACATGAAACCACTTTCAGGTGCAGTTGAAAGCAATGTGACAAATGCTGGTTGAAAGAAATATAAAACTATCTCACCTTTGCAGTCATGCAGGCTGCAGAGCAGAGACCAGTGTGGATTGTAACCGCATAGAGATACGGGTCACATGGAGAGTTGTCAGAAAGGTAGTGTACTCTCTGATTCGCTTCAGAGACAGCGTCAGCTCTCTTACACGCCACCAACCCCGGGATGCACAGGCATACGCAGAGCACCAGCACACCCAGCACAGTCAGATCACTGGACACACTGAGGTGACAGAGAAGGAGGGAGAACAGAATGACCGAGTGAAGCAAATGTCTGCTTCTCAAATACAAAGAAAATCTACCAAAAAGTACATGAAAAACTTTTATCTCCGGTTACTGTGGTTATTTTCTACCATTCAAATTGATCCCCGAATGATTATTTTTCTATACTGGAACATGTGCTCCAACGTCCAAGGTCCAAATTAGATTTAGTTTTCTCTGGTTAAATACATCATCCAAGTCTGAGGAGGATTAGGTCACCTTAGGAACGGGTCCAGATCGGTTGCGTCATGGCTGCTCTGGATCTGCTGCCGCACCACAGTCAGCGGCCTCAACTGGTGACAACTGAGACAAACACCAACAAGCAAGAAGTGGTTAATTTATGTTAATCCTCAATTACTTCTAGCATGTGTGTGTGTGTGTGTGTGTGTGTGTGTGTGTGTGTGTGTGTGTGCGTGTGTTTCCCTCTGTGAAGGTCTTATGTCCTTTTAATCCCTGCTTTACCTGCAGTTGACTGCAGTAGCTGCTTCTGCTTGCTGTGTCCTGCAGCCATACTGTGTCCAGGCCCCCTGGTGGCCGTCCCAGGACAAACACAGGCTGCGGTCCATTGTGAGACTGTAGGTGACTTGATCACTGAGGTGCTTGTGTCTGGGTGTTTTCTCAAAATCAGCATTCAGCAGGGCCAGGTGACCAACCCCTGCAGCTAGAAATTTAAGGATTTTGTCAATCCAGTTTTTGTAAATGTAAAAAAGTACAGAGAGTACATTAGAAATGTCAAAACATGTAAATATTAGATGGATGAATAGAGTACTATATGAACTTCAGCAGGAAACGGTACAGTTGTATTCTGAGACAGTTACTAATCAACAAAAAAAAAAAAGCAAATAGGCTTTTCACAAAAAGAATAATTAAGCTATAATCAGCATCATTTGTTATTAGTATTAGGTAGTGAATGACATTCCGATTACTCTCTAATATGATCAGAACACCAGTCATTTAAAAGATGGAAAGACCAGGAGGGGGAGAAGGGACAGAGCTTAAAACTGAAAGATGGAATCAAGACATTGCTTACCACTGAGGTAGGATGGGGGCAGAGTGAACCGAGTGGTGTTCCTCTCCCAGTGGTGAATCCTGTGCAGATGGTGCATGCTGGGAGTCGGCCTCTCAAACATCCTGCCACAACAAAGACTCTTGGTTTGTTTTTTTGTCACATTCTTGCCTTCTACTTAAAAAAAACTCATCAAAAGTATCACATTGTGGTATTATGTTGCTCTAACTATCAGATGATAGTGAGTATAAAACCTAATGCAAGTCACCGTCTACCTGAAGAGCAGCATGATGGGAAACACCTTGTTGAGCGGCAGCGTGAACACCACGCTCAGCTGGATGGCCTGCTGCAAGTGCTCCTGGGTAATGTTGAAGGTGTGGTAGTTGACCTGGCTGCATAGGAGGACGTACTCGGGCACAGAGCTTATCTGCAGAATGGATGTGATCACACGGTCACCCGCTCTCATTTAACAATGTGCTCTACTGTCGTGATACGGTGCAAATGGAGTCAACTTGTAGCAAACAGAAAAGAAGAGATAGTGTCATACGTTTCTTGGTGGTTGTTGCAGCTCGATGTTTATTGGCTGAACGAGCGAGCGAACTGGGATCTTTCTCTTCGTGCTGCACTTGTAAAGGCTGAGGTCAACCACTGGTCCACTCAGCTGGAAATCAGCAGAGGAAAATGAGAGCAATGCCTTGCTGTTTAATCAGTAAGGGTCATCATATCATGCCAGTCTCACCGATTCAGGATAGCGGGCCCACGTGTAAGGGCTGTGGGCGAGCTCGGTCAGCACGCTGAGTACACACGGTCGATGCAGTCTGCTTTCAGTCTCTCCACTGCGACGAACAAACAGAAGATGGATCAGGGAGTCGGGCATGTAGAAGGTGGTTGACCCGCTGCTGAGGACTGGGGAGGTTTGGTTTAGGTATGTGGCATATAAGGCGATAAGACCAGTGCTGACTCTGTGCTCATGGGCCTCATGGGACAAGATGTACTTCTGGAAAAAAAAGAAAAGAAGTGTGACAGTTGAGGGATAAATGGAGGTACAAATATGAAAACATGGAAGTTCATGAGTAGATATGAACAAGAACATGTTTGTGTTCTCTCACCAGCGTCAGGTCTGAAGCAGTCTGGAGAATATCAGCTGTGAGCTGCAGCGCCTGCTTTGTTGAAATCAGTAATCCTTGTTCCATGTAAATACCACTGGGTGAGTCCTGTATTTCATCATGGGGGTCGGACTCTAATGCCTGTGTAATGTCAGCACTGGTGGACATTTCAGGTGTGAAGTCATTACTAGTGAGAACAGCTTGCAGGCTGTATGACAGCAGAGCCACCAGGGTGTTGAGTGTCTTTTGAGAGCACCAGACTGGAGCACTGGAAAACTGTTCTGAGATGACCTGGACGTGGATGGTCACTCGTCTTGCACTCGCTAATGTCACCTAAACAGGGTTGAGTGTTGCATGAGAAACAATTTTCATCTTTCAGCATGTATCCATCAGTGTCTCTTTGTCAATCAAAGTCAAACCTTCCACCTACCTGACTTGTAACTTCTAAAAGGTTTTTCAGAATGCAGATGTTATCCACCATTGATGCCTAGGATTAAATGTTATTAAAATGCTGTAAAAAGTTGGATAAGTTTGTTGAACTGTGACTGTGAAATGGGAATAGAGAGTAGAGGATTGATTTGCTGAAATCAAACACGTGGTTCTATTAATCTTTGAGGTTTAGTATAGGTCTGTGTGTGTACCTGTCCGCTGCTCTCAAGCTCACACACCGTGCCAATGAGCACATTCCGTGTGCGTCTCTGAGCGTGTGTGTTGGCCTTAGTGTCTCGGCTGAGTCGGTTGAGAATGCTGGAGAGAAGACTGACGTAGTTACGAATCTCCACACTGTTTCCAAGTCGCACCAGAGCTGAGAGGTTCCTCAGACCCGACTCTGAACTGGAGAGAAATAGATATTACTGACAGAACCATATACTGTATGAATAGTAAGACAGTAACTTGTTGAGATGTACTGTAAAACTCTTGTGGCAACACAAAAGTTGATCTATGGTCTGCAAAAGCTATTATACCTCGTACTGTAGTATATATACAAAGAATCCCTCTAACAATATCCTGCAACATAGACATAATAACCCTGACTTGATGTGATGGCATGGTGATTCTTACAGCTCCAGGTCAGGATCAATATGGGAAGAAGAAGAGGCGTCTCTGAAGAAGCTCGGTTGGACTCGGACGGTGACAGGACAAGGTTTAGAGGGCGCCCCATTCATGCTGCTTTTGATCTCTGTGTAAATTGTTACTATAGGAACAAAAAGTCAATCACTCAATTAATGGAAAAAGGGAATCTCTGCAATAAGTTTTTATGATAATGCGTCCCTTGTGCACTATTATTCAGTGTCTGTGTGTATGAGTTTACCTTTACGGTCATCATTGGGGTCACCAGAAGGAAGGCTGAAGTAGTACTGGAAGTCTCTCCCCTTGTACACTGTCCTGGGAGGTCCGTCTCCTACACTGATACTGTACTCGTACAGTAAGTCCTTCAGCACACACACACACACACATAAACATGTGAGGGTTGGCATGCATGGAACAGTGCACAGTGTGTGTGTGTGTGTTTACTTTGAGACAGTAAATACCTCTTTCCCTGAGGTGCAGAAGATGCTGAAGTGTGTATATAACTCCCTCCCTCTGACTGGTTGCACCTGGCACATCACACCCTTTGGAGCAGGGTTGGTTTTTAAGAATAGCTGAGTCCGGCCCAAAAAACTATTATGAGATTCTGAGTTGAAAAAGGCAGCAATCACATTAGCATCGAGATCCATCCCTTCAATTTTCACAATACAGGTAATTATCATTTTAAGTTTAGACACCACTGTGGATCTCCAATCCAGAAAAGCAAACATCTATTGTGCTATTGTGTTGTTCTGAAACTTACTGGCAGTTATCTCCAACATGTATCTACTCCCAGGAATCAGACTGAGTGGTCTGAAGCTGAGCAACGGGGAGGAAATGCCTGGAAAGATGGAAGGAGAGAGGAAGGTGTCTAAAAACTGACATGGGTGGATAGAGAGAGGAAATCTGTGTCTGTGAGTTTCCTGAATAATGTACCCGTGTAAGTGTAGGACTCAAAAAGGCCTCTGTCTACCGGGTGTCTGGGTAAATCGAGCAACACTGGCTCCTGGATCACAACAGATGGTCTGGAATCTATCAGATTATTCCCCTCATCTTCATGAAATGCTGGATCATGAAATGAATCCTCTCCTGGACTGAAGCTCTCACCATCCACACCTGGGAATGACATGCATGTGATTAACACACAACCTCCCACACTAGGGATTATTAACAAAACGCAGAGATGTACTTCACCTGTGGGTCTTCCTGCTGAAACCCCTGGGTCTCCTTCCTCTGCGCTCATCAAGGGAACATCATAATCTGAATCTGACATAGAATCAGCTTTAATGCACAATACAGTTGGCATAAACGTGAGAAATCTGCACAGTGTACATGTACATATAAGAAGGTGGTAGCTGTGTTATGAAGAGAAAAATACATTCAGTAGTTGTTTCCTATTTCTCCTTACAACTTGTTCCGTGTTTGTTGCAGCTTGGATAACCTTTTCATGTACTGGCTACTAGCATTTTTTAGCTCATCTTAGTTTCACAGCCAACATTTTTAACTGTTCAGCATCGTTTCTAGACACCATGGGCAGCTCTGACAAACCTGCTTTATGCTAACAGCACCAAACGGCAGACAAAGACAACAGCTGGCGTTAGCTGTTAAACATAGTGGAACATTTAACTGCTAAAGTATGAAGTAAGCTATATTAACTTTACAAGTCAGTGTTGTGTTACAGTTTGTTCCCCCCAAGTGGCCAAAACATAATTGATGCAGGTTTTAGTACTCTAAACAGCTGTTGTACACCTACACAGGTGTTTTCTATTATGCCTGATTATACACCTCCTCTCTGGAATGTGTGAGCATGTGCAGCCTTGTCTTGATTGACAGCTCCCTCACCCTCTAGTAGCTGTGTTGCACATCTAAGGGCGGGACAATTAACACTTTGTCATTCTTAGTCGGATCTTTCACTTAATAAAACAATACCACATTCTTGAAATACTCCGTGAATGCAAAAGTAAAATGTAAATATAGAAATTCTTATTTTATAATGATAAATCAAATTATTTTATTATAATTATTGAAGCATTATTGTACAAATCACTTTAATGTTGCAGTTGGTATATGTGGAGCTAATTTAAATCACTTTATATACTGCTGTGCTGGCCAGGTAGCTTGTGCATTTCCTCCGGGGAAATGTTTATTATTACTATGAATCTGCCAAGTAACTATATTACTTAAGCTATCACATGTAATGGTGTAGAAAGTATATTATACAAGTATGTCAGATTTGTTCTTAAGTACAGTACTTTGGTAGTTTGTTAATCTTACATAATTCACTGCATAGAACCACGTAGCTTTCACCTTCGTAGAGGTCCAATCAGCCAGAATAACTGAAACCCTTTCATTTTTTATCATTCTAAGACCAGATAAAATAATCATTTGATTTTGTGTGACTGCCAGATCTAAGAAGCTTCACAGCCAATATTTCTGCTCAGTTTTTTCTCACCTTGTTGACCTCCCAAGTCACCGGCCTCCAGGACAGGGAAAGAAAACTCCCAGTCAGCAAAGGAGTCATATTCAATTGGGAATTCACCCTGGCGAAAGTGGTCTGAATATAGGACGCCACTGTTGTCAAAGGCAAGTGGCGGGTATTCAGTGGAGGAGTACAAAGGCTTTAGAGGGTCAAACTCCCCCAGGGGGTGATAAAAGGGCTCCTCTCCTGGACACAAAGAGGGAAAGCTGTTAAATAATTCATAAACTATCCACTTTACTGTAACTATGACCTTGCACATTACTTCTTTTTGAGCTACCCTGTTGATGTTCATGTCTTAAATGTCTTTTTTTTCATTGCAAACATGGTAAAAAATGACATTTCACACTTTTCTTCACATTTGATTCAAATTTATCTGCCGTGTAAGTAAATCTTTATTTCAAGTAAAAGCTTGCAGCACCATGGCAGTAACAGCTGCTTACCTGATCCTTCTGCTCTTTTGTCTACTAGAGAAGAGATAGGCGAGGGCTCGGGTTCTGTCAAATCTGATTGAGGAGGAAAAGAGGGAAGTCAAGTTCACTGACATGGTGTTGTTTTCTATTTCAGTATGCAGGTCTCCTCAAGATCTGTTTTTACAGAGGTAACCACTTGGGAAGCACACAAGCCGGTCACATTTATTCACACACCAGCCATAGTTTCAGAGGCATTCTGGATCAGAACGACAGGATCGGAGGTATGGGTGTACTGTGAAGCAGGTGCATGCTGGGTGGAAGTCCCAGGAGTCTGTGGGGAAGTGGCAGCACCCTCCATGATGGTAGACGGAGCACTGAGATCCACCGTGTAACAAAATGGGACTAGAATAGAAAAGAATAGAATTAAAGCGATTTATTTTCTTGAAAACGAAATAATGTACTGCACATGTCCAAATGCATTCGCCTTTTTTTTTTTTACCTTCTATGACAGGCTTGGATGATGCATTGACCAGGTACAGGCTCCAGGTGTACTGGATGTCTTTTGGAGAAATATCACAGCTTTCACACGAGGCGCTGACAGAGAAAGACTGATGCCAGTTCACCTGGTCTCCCCGGCACTGAGGGCAGGTAACTGACACCTTCCTGGATTGGAAACATTCAGATACATGGCAACAGTCACAAGGTGTATCAAGGTACAGTACACTGTTTAATGGTGGCAAATGTCTCTAAAATTATATTTACTTTATAGCATCCCCATGTCATCTGTCCTTAGTGATTTGTTTTTGTTTTTATAACTCTCACCCGATCACATTTGGTGATAATGTGAGGAAGGTCTCTGATGAAGCTGAACGCTCGCCGCTGTGGACGGTGATCGAGAACTGGAACTGGTCAAAGTTGTGTTTTAGGAAACTAGCAGGAAATACAAGCACAGGGGATGAAGTGGGAACGTCGTGGAGGAAACAGGAGCTGGTAATGGAGCTGACTGGTTTACATGTCCAGCTGAAGCTGTGAAACAAAAAAATTAAAATCAGAAACAGTGTTAAGATTGAATGCATATTTGAGTAAATACCTTACAACCCTGCATACATTACACTGTTTCTGTACCTGACTGGGTTCATGGGGAAGTCTGGGTCGTAAGATCTCTGCCCGTCCAGGGTGACCACGGTGTCGTTCCGGTTGTTAATGAAGATGTTGGTGCCGCCCTGGATGAAGGCAACAGGAGGGCTCGGTATCACCTGCACTTTAACACTGTAGTTGCTGTACACCACACTGCCAGCGACCTGAACCTGCGGAGAAAAGGCTATTGGAGTCTCAGTTCTGTCTATTCAGTGGCAGGACAGCAGGACCCTGGTCCAGGTTTAAGGTTCAATATGTGACAGTGTTTGTCCGCTACTTACCTTAGCTATGGCAGTATAAGTGTCATAGTGCAGGAGATGGCTGAGCAGTATGAGGTTCTGTCTATGTGTGTCTACAAGAGGCAAAGGGAAGACCCGTCCTGCAGAGTCAAACAAGGTCCAGGTGTAGTGAAGGCCTCCTGAAATGTCACAGTCAACTTCCGTCTCATAGGTCACTCCCAGATGGATGACCTCATATCTTCGCACCTTGAAGAGAGAAGAGGAATAAGATGAGGGCAGCAATGTAATTACCTTTTTAGCTACTTTACCATAGTAAAAGTCCTGCTGGCAAAACGTACCTGTAGTTTTAGAGGCCCCATGTTTTTCACTGGTGGAGGCTGACAATGCCGGTCCACAACAAAGATGTGACCGCATAGAGTGGCAGAACTGACCAGGTTAGACACAGTTACTTCCACTCTGAACTCTCCTGTCCTGCAGAGAGTAAAAACACATAAACATTAAATGTACACAGGGTAAAAAGACACGTACATTTTATTTGCTTAACCTGGAGAGGAAATTCATGTTTTAAAGTATAAATTGATCCATAACAATTAATTAGACACTATAGCTTGACATCAATTTTGATAGCCCATTTGAGAGTTAAAAAATATGCGATAATGATATATCAACCAATAGCCTTTTTTTCTCATAAACGCATAATATCTTTAATAAGGGTGCATCAAATTAGTATAATTTGTACTGAAAGGAACATTTTTCAGTTTTAAAATAAACTCTTCAGTTGTCTCTGGTTACAATCTCTCTAGTGAAAAAACACTATCTATAATGACAGTAAAACTGACCTGTGGAAGACGTGCCGCTCTGTGCTCTGTCCCAGCCTGGATGATCCGTCTCCAAAGCTCCAGAGGAAGGTGACGTCAGTCCCCACATTGACCCGGCAGCTCACCGTCACTGCTTGGTTCTGCAGGACAGAAGCCTGGTGGACCAGCCTGTTGAGCTTCACTGCTCTCTGGACTACCAGCGGGAACACATCGGAGGTAAGGGAGGTCCGGCCACTTGACATGACTACAACTACAGCATACCTACATTGAAGAAAGGGGGTTTAAGTGTTGTAAATACTAGCTTGCTGGCAAAAATACTATCCAGGGAAAGATCTGTCTATGCCCTGTATTGAAACTATTTTGATTATTTTCTTGAATAAATGAGTAAAATGATACTGCACAAGAGACAAAGAAGCATGTACATCATATTTTCAAGACTTCATCTGTGTCTCATACCTGCCAGGTTTGTGGTATCTTTTGGAGATGGTTCTTGAGGTGGTTCTCTCTGATCTCGAGTCTCCAAAGTGCCAGAGGAGCTCCACCGGGTCTGCTACTCCAGCCATGGCCAGGAAAGTTATATCTGTATTTGTGGGATAAGCTTGCTTTGCTGCAGAAATCCGCACTGTTAGGAGACAAAACAGATATTCACATTGCAGTGAATGTGTAATATATAATATATTACAAATATAAACCATACTTTGGTGTTTCATTTTTACCTCTTTACTTAAGATTTCATTAAAATATTTTATTTATTTATACAAAATGAACCAAAACACTGACCACGAGGAAGATCTTAGGTAGATAATGAGAATGAATATGAAACACAATTTAAATCACACTTGAAACTAAAAATAAATCTAGTTTGAATTGAAATCAAACACTTTTACTAAGCTTGTTTAGAAGATATTAAGTGAAAGTTATAGTGATAGAAAAGAAACCAAAAACAGATTAGACGACAGCATCAGCATTCATGTACTTCATCATTTTGAAGCTTCCATTTTCTTTGACAGTGTTAAAAAATTGCAAAAACCAAAGCCAGAAAATAATGATAAAATAATTCAGATAAACGCATGATACCCTAATTAAACTAAATGTGAAAAAAGTATTACATTGAATCGTGCCACATGAAAAAATAATTAATTTGTTTAAGAAATCTGTTACAATCACAGATTAAAATGTTTAGAAATTGATTAAATATTTTTTTAAATCTCAGATATTTACTTAATAATTACAAGCAAAGAAAATCACACTTATTTTGTACTGCTCAGTGGGTGTTCATTAAAAACCCTTTCTCACCATTGTCAGCCAGGTTGTGAACAGGACTCTGACTGGTAGGTGGTTGCCACGTTGAATTAACCCTAACTTGTGGCGACTGCTTCCTGTTCCCCTTAACACACACTCTCACGCTTTTGTTCTGAGAAGACACTTGATTCTCAGCTTGAAGCTCGACCACAACTATCCCGGTATGGTCGAAATGCAAAACCACCATTGCCTCCTCTCCTGTAGTGTAGCTGCTGTTTCTGTACAGCAACGTTGCATTCGCCAGCAGAGACACGGTCACATTTGACCCTGCTGTGATGCTAAATGAAACTGGGTGTTTTCGATTTGCTGTGATCACGCTGGGAACATTCAATAATAACTCTCCAACTGGATCTTGAACGAGGATGTGTGTGCAGAATGAGGCCCAGCTGATTGGATTAAAGGCCTCAACTGCCACTTTATAACGGCCTGCTATTGTAAGAGACACATTTACGTTCCACTCTTCAGTTCTCCTGCTCATCCCAGTATTATTATCCAAACTGAAAGTCCAAATAACTCTCGACCCCATTACGCTAACGGGGCCGACAACCTCCAGGTTGAATTCTGTGTGTGTTGTAACTGCTGACTTCCAACTCCCAGAAGACCTCGGGGCACATATATTCTCGTACACCATCAGGGCTTGAGGCAGGACGGCAGGGAGCAGCACTGATGTTGGGTCAGAAGTGGAGAGAAGAGACGCTTTGAGCCGATAACGTCCTGCAGTGGTGGGGAGGCGGCAGTGAAGGCGGAGGTGCAAATGGCAGCTGGAGCGATTGGAGGCGTGGAGGAGACGGAGAGGCACCAAGTGTTGGGTGTCTGAGTTGAGGGTGCCACCATGACAATAGATGATATTGTGGTTTTGATTGTTGCCATTGTCACTGTTGTTGCAGTCGTGATTATTACAGTTGTCTTGGAGAGTAATTTTGATGCTGTCACAGATGTTTTTATTGTCATTGTCCTTCGCGTCAATGCCGCCATGCTCAGCGTTCAGTGTGAGGTTGAGGACAAGTAGGTGCTTCATGGTGGTGAACATCTCCACGTCCACAGAAACCTCCTCTCCGGATGTCAACTGAACCCCCGATACACTAACTCTGAGGTCAGAGGCGACGAGAGGCACGACCACCTACAAGTACACATACACACACACACACATATTTTGGACAGAGACAACATGCACACAAAGACACATGTGAGATTAAAGGACAAATTGGTCATATTTCATATTTCCCTTATTGTCAATAAATCGTATGAAAAGACCAAAAACAACAACGAATTGATTGCTGTGATTCCTGTGCCTTAGAGCTCTATTGTTACACACATAGACTGTTAAAAACACACCAATAAGCCATGTTTCTTCATAACAATGAGCATGGGCATTTCAGTTTATTTTCCAGACAAGTCAGAAAGTATTGAGAGACGGACTAACAATTTATTGGTTTGGATCTTTTCGTGGGATTTGTTTACAATTCGACACATTTGAAATATGACCAGCATTATCATTGAATCAATGAGGAAGACACTTTTCAGTGAATGAAAGCAGATAACTCACAATGTGTATTGTCTCCTGTGTCCATCCGTAGGCACTAGAGGCGTTCACTGACACCATGTGAACTCCCTCTGCTTCAAAGGTCCAGTTCTGGAGGGCATTTATAAGTATGTTTTTAGAATTCATCTGATTTTTTTTGATCAGCAAAAACATCTTTTCATCATCCTAAATTACCAAATTATCAAATATCCAATTGAGAACAGCATTCCTTCCACACTAACAGAAACCCCCATTACTTCTCACCATTTGCTTGAATGAGTTTTTGGTGTATGTCTGGTACTCCAGTTATGTCTTTCGTTAAAAATAATGAATGAAAACCAAACTTTTCTAAACAGGATCTGCATCCACCTCAACAATAATACAGCATTTCTTTCTTCAACCCTATAAATCCATTCAGAACGCTGGAGTTCTACACGCTGTTTAAAAACAGTTTGCAAATGTAGAGGATTTTTCACATTCTATGTGTTGAACCTTGACCCCTCTTAAATAAGGAAGGTTAATTAAATGATGTGGGTAAATCTTGACAAATGTTTATTGTTTAATTCTTATCAATTTGGGCTGTTATTGGTGGGTTTTGATTGTGTTATCAGACCATAGCTTCTGTTAGTTTCACCAAACATCTGCCACATTTCATTAATTGCTTTGATCACTGTACAGAGCTATCAGGTGAGACATCTTCATAATTCTAATAAAATGTATATTTTAACTGAATTATTCTCACCAAACATAAATTCTACATGTATATTATACCATTTGTCTTGAATGTGACTATTAACTGTCCTGTCTAACTAGTACTGTTTTTTTTTATGTGCAATCTCTACATATTTGAAGCTGATAATAGACTTTGAAAGTAGATAATGGAAGTAGGAAAAAACACAGTTTTTAGCTTGTTTTTGATATAATCTTCTACTCTTTTTGATATTCTTTGTTATAAAACAGTCACAATGAAGCCAGACTTTAAACACGAGCAGGCTGTCCTTAACATCATTGATTTATTTAAATGTAAAAACATTTTTAAACAGCCATCGGTTGTCGTTGATCAATGTGCCGAAATTGCTTCAATCAGATTGGACTACATTGTGATCAATTAAAAAGAGACAACTTCAGCCTTGAATGCTGACAGCATTTCATTTGACATACATAGCAGTGCTTCTTTCTCAGCCCTACTTACCGCAGTGCTGATCAAACAGTCGGAGTTGGGAAGGCAAACTGTCTTGACACCCTCCATGTTTTTCTCTTTTCTCTTGTGAGTAATCCACCAAAAAAACTCCACCGCCAGACCATCGCCCATGTGTGCCTGCAGTGTGACAGGGTCGCCCAGGTATGCTGCCTCCACAGTCTCACTGTGGGAGTCTTCCTGTGGGAAAGGGATGCAGGAGGGGACACCCAGGGGGCCATGAATCACAGAGACCACCAAGCCATCTGCAGAGGGCTGCAAGACGGAGAGGTGCAGGGTGGAGGAGACTGTTGAGAGGGGGTTGGAGACACTGACGTCTAAACAGAAAATGAGAGGATTAAAGAGAAAAGGGAGAGAGAGGGTGAAGACATAATGATAAATATTTTTTATTAATTCATTATTCACCATTTGACTAAATTAGTTTGCTCTAGTTAACTTACCGAGTTCATATTTTCCTGGAGTTTCCAAAATCCAATCAGATGACACAAAAAAGGAGCCGTCATCCGACACGTTGACATGATGACCTTCATGGGTCGTTTCCTGAAACTCAACAGTGACGTAAGAGAGGTCCTGATCTCCCAGACCCACAATCCCTAAAAATCACAGAAAAACTCATTTGAAACAGGAGAATGGAAACATTAATACATGCTACAAATATATATATATATATATTTTTTATTTTTTATTTTATTTTGTAAGCATTAACCAAATATTCTGACACTATTTTTCTCTGTGTGTAAATATATTATTTTACTTAAAAACTCATTAACAATCACATTCTGCATGAAACATTGGTCAGCACAATATTGATATATATTTTGTCAAACATTATCATTATTTTAGAAATACATATCGAGCAGTTATTTATATAACATCATCATAGTAACAATTATATAATTGGAATTATTTAAAAATATATAATATAAATGAATTATCGTTGATAATTTGTGTCCACACTACACAGTATGACTGCAGTTGTAAACAAACAATTATAGAAAATGTGTTAACTTAAATACGCAACATCAAGCTTGTTTCTACTTTATATCCAATCATGTATATTAACATGTGTTTGTGAGGTGGCTTTGACTATTTAAAAAAAAAGAAATAACTGAACCTTTCAAAGTTAAACTATTTAAATACATTAACACTGACAACACAAATGTTGTCTTTCTAAAAGTCAGTCTACAGAGCAAACTGGATCCTCCTCTAATCATTTTGATAATAATAATTTATAATGATACATAATGGGATATAATTACTGTATTTTGAAATAATATAATTCATTATATAGTAAGAAAAAAATATGAATGACAGATAAAAAGATATTTTACAAAACGACAGGCAATGTAAACTAGAAAAAAAAGCATTTTCACTTGTAAGTAAAGGAGGAAACATCTTTATCAAAACGAGCCTCTTTGCCAAGTCAGACAGTATTTATAACACAGGAGTCAAGCATGTGTGTAACTTGAAGAGTTGGATTTCCCGAGAACTACACTTGTGTTAAGTAGCAGCTGACCTGAGGGCTGGTTGGGGCGTCCAGCCAGGTTTCCAGAAACTTCCATGACAAAAGTCTTCCCAGCCTGCACTCTGTCTGGAGACGTAGACAGACGAACGCTGTGCAGAAATGGTCCTTCAGTTCTGTAGAGTGCCACACTTCCCTGTTCCCCTCCAACAGGCAAGTAAAGGACACTAAAGAAAAGAAGGGAAAAGATTCCGAGTGAACATATCCAGCACAAGTCAAACACAAAAAGCTTCAGGGACTTGCATGTTTTACTCAGACGATGGTAAAAAGTACATGGTAACCCTCAGTCACTTGTGGATCAGGATATGAGACAGAGAAGCCGTGGTTGGACACTGAGAGACAAAGGAAAAGGCAGCAGTCTGTCTCACCTTTGTTTTTCTCCTCTGACATCCTTTGTCCCTCCTTTGGAAGATGTGTTGAAACACTCACTGGCCACCAAACCATGTTGCTGGTCGCCACAGTAACAAGCCTCTGAGGTCAACGCTGCAACCTGGTACCTTCACCAACAAATACTGAAAGTTAATGAAATACAGTCCGAGTGCTACACATGCATCCAGCTCATCTAAACACACTGATACAAGACTCAGTACTCATGTGGTGTGAACACTTCTGTTTTAGAAAGACGGTGCCTTTATTGCTAGAAATCCATCGACGCAACTCTTTTTCAGCAATAAGCCAAATGTTATTGCAAACAACAATAAATACGTGTCTGAGTTGTGCAGAAGTCAAACTATATATCTCTGACTGAGAGACCAAAGCACACATTGTATTCTAATGCAGAAGGCTTTTTGGTTATTGAAGAATTCTTTTCTGATTTTTCCCCATTTTTTTGTTGTTCGTCCAAGTCCTATATACTATTTTTGGTGTTTGAAATCAAATTATATTATCTAGTATTTCAGAAATAGAACATCAGCTGCAAAAATAGACTACAGCATGTTAGAGGAATATGTAATAATACAATAATTAGTTTTCATATATAATAGATCACTCTACAATATTATCACAATTAAGAAAGTACTGGTTCCAAAAGGAGTGATTTTAAAAGTGGAAGAGTGGATTTTCTCCTTAATTTTACACAAATATACAGAAATCGACTTTAGACTAAATGCAACTGGCTCAACGTTCTCTTTTACGGTTTCCCCAAACTTACCCTTCATCAAGGCAGCGAACAGAGCAGGTTACCGGGTCAAGGTCACGGGCACCGTTGGTTGCATAAAGGCTGCTGCTGCTGCTGCTGGCGCTGCTGGCGTTGACGCATCCCACGAACCACGGTGCATCCTCGTGATCTGGAGGAAGAGCCGCCGCAGGCGAGCGATGAAAAATCGGTTGCAATGAAATGAGCGCGTAGAGAAAAGCACCGAACATGTCTGATCCGTGAGGTCTCCGGACAAAGGCCGCAGCTAAAACAGGAAGAGCTCAGGTGAGCAGCCGGATGAGGACAGACATGCGTCTGACGAGAACGCACACGTTTCAGACTGAAGGGAAGGATAGGAGTGGGGATAGAAAAGCAGGTGCACTGACACCTCGGACTATATGTGCTTACAAGGTGTGCGTGACAGGCAAGGACAGAGAGGGACTGTATGCAAATGGAGGGAATCAGAATGAGTGTGATGGAGGTGGAAGCTCTTCACTGAAGAGGGAACAAAAAGAGAAACGACCTTTCAAATGACAGGCCAGGTATTGTGCTGCTATGCAATAAAATAGTCAAAATAAGCAAGCCACGCATTTGTGACGGTTATAATTAAATGCTATAGTGAGTTTGATTAAAGGCCGCAGTGTTGTGTATTTATTATCTGCTGGTGCAGTTCTCTTGTATTTCAACATGAAGTTTAACGATTTAAATAAATGTCATATACGCTATAAACATGATTATAGGCTCCTTTAAACTTCATATCCGATTTTAAAGCAAAGGGTTTGTTTTGCCTTCCAGTCTGGGGAAAGCACAAAGGTCACCAGTCAATCCCAAAATACCAATAATCAGCAGGAGTTCGGGCTTTTACACGTGCGTTTTCCAAGCAGAGGTAAAAAATGATAAAAAAAAAAGCAAAAAAAAAAAAGCCTGTGTTGCCATGTTGGGGTGTTGCAGTCTGAACTATTGCTTCTTTAAACACAAACACCTAAAATGAGGGGAAAACAAACAACTAAACATCAGAAAACTGTAGTGAGAAGGTTTCTGTTATTTTATATTATATGTTTTACCCCTTAGGTACACTTTTAATCTGAAAATATATTAAATGTTTCTGTCTGTAAAAACAACGAACTGTCCTACAGTGACCTGGTCTGCATTAGATAGGCCTACACTCGTAATCAAAAAGAAGAAGAGGAATTATTTCTAATTATTTCAGCCATGTTTGTGAAAGGCTGAGTCGAGCCACGAAGCAAATTCAGCTCACCTGAAGCTGGTGGAACCACTCGAGAGCCATAAGACTGATCTCTGTTCTTTCCCCGACGTCAAAAACAACATCTGAAGTCTTCAAAAGTATCTAAATGTTTTCACATCAATGTTTTATTATGCGGGAGATATGGTGCAATATAGTATTTTCCTTTATGGACCAGCCTCATCTGCTTGTCGTCATAAACGAGCCATTGTGTCACTGTAAAGCGAAAGTAAACACAGAATTGGCTGCAGTATGAAAATGTGAATCTTATTAACTATTTTGTTATATTCTGAGTCTTATTATATTTTCCTTTGCTGACAAGTAAAAGGGACAACGGGGTGACAAATCCTACAACTGAGTTCCAACTGTGTGGATCAAGGTCTTAAATTGTCACTTTGTTTGGGTCCTGGTCGTCACATATTTGCTTAAATCAAGGACGTTCTTTAAAAAAAACGTTGTTTTGAACTGGAAAGGAGAAAAAATGATCTCACCAGCTGTGGTATTTTCTAACTTAGTTTAAGAAAAGTGAGATTGTAAGCTCCAGCGCGAATATCTTCACCATATGCATATTTTTGCAGAGCAATTCTAAACCGTTAAGGGGAGAAATGCAAAAAGACAACGGAACCGTTGAAAGTGTTTCGTCTGAGTCGAGCTTGCCCTATGAGCCCTTTCCTGGAAAAAAAAAAAAGCGTCCTCGTTGTGCAGCTAACTCCGCCGTTCCACCTTAAAAAACTCTTCCGGTTTTCCAGACATCCCCTTTAAGAGAATTTTTCACTCGTACCTGCGGCCAGCAGGGGGCGCTGTCAGACCGTACCATCTCCTCAGGCTGACTTTAACAGCGAGAGACGCAGCGGGGGGAATCAAAAATATTTTCTCTCTCCATTTGTTACACATAATACCGCAGATTTGGGCGATTTCGTTCCGTCTCTCCAATCAGGGACTCGCAGACGTCTTCACATCGTAAAGGAAAAACCCAAGTAAACATATGTGACGCACAGAAACACAAACACATCTTATTTGACATCCCCCCCCCCCCCCCCACCACCACCAAAAAAAAAACTAAACAGCGGGATTTTTATTGTTTTCTAATTCAACTGCATATATGAAAAAAAACAGTCGTGGGAATGAAACCTCTATTTGACGCCCATATAGCAAAATACATTGGGATCATTCTATGATAATTAATTTATAAAATACATAATGCTTTATTTGGTGCGGGACCCCCGGAGCTCATTGAAGCACCCCTGTGTCCCCGGATCACACTTCAAGAGGCATGTTACAACCAGACCTTCAACATCAATACGCTGCGCTGTAGTCGTGACGGTGTGCGTAAAGCCCAACCCCAGGCCCATGAGCTCGAATAACCTGCTTAATTCGTTGAGCGCGTGCTGTGTGTTCAACTTGTGCGCGCGAGGATACAACTAACAAACGATTAAGTCAACGAAATCTTAAAAAAAAAAAAAAGAAGCCGCAAGATGAGCGTAACGGGACTCCGTAACGGAGATGAAGCGTTATATAAACGCCTGTAGTCTGCGCCCCTACCAAGGACACCGAGCCCGCTGGAGAAAACAGCACAGCTGACTCCGGTGGGCTGTGGAGTCGCTTGAGGTGGAGCGGTATTGAAAATAGATATAGTCATAAGCGTTTTGATATAACTCCAGGATGTATGGGTGGGGGGGGGGGGGGGGGGGGG